GGGGGGACCTCTGCTGCTCAACTTTGCAGGAGGACTCTCTTTATTCAAAATATTTCTATGCCACCCTTTCTCCTAAAATAAAAGGACCCAAGGTGGGGTACAGTATTAAAAGAAGGAATATTGAATGCTAAAACAATAAATTATTACATTTTTAAAATTATATTCAAAATTGTACCTAATGCAGAATTGAAAACACCCCGGTTGCTTTCCAAAGAGATAAAGGATCTCTTCCTGCCTGTTTATCCTCACAACGTCCCTCTGAAGTAGGTTTCAAAGAAGTAGCTGTGTACCTGCCAGCAAAGTGGGACAAAAATAAAAACCCAAACCAGACAAAACCAAAAAAAATAAATAAATAACAACAGCATTGTGGCACCCTTAACCACTGTTCGTCTGAGTTTGTAGGGGTACTGTCACCTCTTCAGACACCTCTAAGGTAGGAAAGGCCAACACAGATCGCTTGGCGAGCTTCCCTGGTTTGCAGCTTGAACCTGTGGTTAGTCAGTGACCATGCTTTTTTGTTGTTGTTTAGTCGTTTCGTCATGTCTGACTCTTCATGACCCCATGGACCAGAGCACGGCAGGCCCTCCTCTCTTCCACTGCCTCCCGGAGTTGGGTCAAATTCATGTTGGTCGCTTCGATGACACTGTCCAACCATCTCGTCCTCTGTCGTCCCCTTCTCCTCTTGCCTCCACACTTTCCCAACATCAGGGTCTTTTCCAGAGAGTCTTCTCTTCTCATGAGATGGCCAAAGTATTGGAGCCTCAGCTTCAGGATCTGTCCTTCCAGTGAGCACTCAGGTTTGATTTCCTTCAGAATGGATAGGTTTGATCTCCTTGCAGTCCAGGGGACTCTCGAGAAACATGGTCCCTACCCTGGACCATGCTAGAGACCATGCTAGAGACATGCAAATACTGTAGGGGTAGGGTGTGAGTGTCTGTGTGTAGGTGTCACTTTCACTTGAAAAAAAAGGATATTGTTGCTGCTGTGCTTTAACAGTTTTTAGGGATGGAATTTCAGCAGCCAGAGCATGTCATCAGCTACAACAGCTAAGTTCCTGGTTTCACACAGCTATTGAACCATCAAAGGTAACAGTCAAAGGTAGAGAAGCCCACTTCATCCATGTGACCACCTTAGGCTAGATGGTGTACACATGTACAAAATGCAAATTACTAGAAATATCCTGCAACAGACATGTTATCTAGATCCACGCTACACTTGTGATGTTGTGTGGGATAGATCCCCACCAGTCACTTGGTTTTCAGGGTCTTCTCCACAGGATTTCTCCGAGAGCAACAGTGACCTGTGAAATGGAGCAGAGGCTTCATGAGCCTTCCACAGCTGGAGGGAACAGGAAATTTCAGCCGGTATAGCTTACCAGACAAGGATTTCCTGCAGAAATTTCCACTTCTACACAGATATTGGAAGTACCAATTTTACGTGCTAGCAGTCCATAAGAAAACAGGAGAGCCAGATGCCTGATGATGATCGGAAAGATCAGGGAAGTTTTATTTTGTTTGTGGGAAGGGGATTCTGGAACCTGGCAACTGCAGAAAAAATGACCTGTCCAGATATCCAATCTTCTGGCCACCTTGGATTGGAGACTAGAAGGCTTATGAAAACAGAAAATAAACTGGGCCATTTGTTTTACGTAAATGTGTTTTAGTATTGATGTTATTTGCCGTTTTTAATGTAACACTTCCTTAATTCTTTTCAATATTTTGTATACTTACGGTTTTTAGCTTTTAAATACTGTCTTTTCAGTATTGTAAGGCACCTTCTGTCCTTTTTAAAGAGAAGGGTGGGGCATAAATAAGTTAAATTAAAATAAATAAACAAACACCACAGAAGTACAGGGTCAAAATGATAAGGGTGTAGAAAATTAAAAGGAAGCCCCTACATAGCAACCCTATGACTGTAACGATGGTCTGTGTCTGTGTTGAGATCAGCCACGTTCACTTGAGCAAAATGTGTTTTCAAGTCATAAGAGTATATCCCCCAACATTTTAAGAGCCAGTGTGGTATTGTAGATAGAGTGTCAGACGAGGATTCAAGAGACCTGGGTTCAAATTCCTGCTAAGCCAAGGAAAGTCACTGGAGAGTGTGGCATTGGTAAACCACCCATTGAAGTTCACACATACTTTTGAAAGCCCGTTAAAGTTACCATAAGCCAGAGGTTAATTGATGGAACATAACAACAAAACCACTTCTTTCAGAAATGAAAAACAATTGAATCCAGCAGGGATTTTAAAGATCTTCAGCTTTTATTTTATTTTATTTTGATACCTTGTTGTCACAAACACCTCATAATAAGGAGGCAGTTTCCAGAACGACTCTGAAGAAATGTTTCTTGGTCCCCCCAGAACTATAATGTTTCTGGTAAAGGTAAAGGTAAAGGTTCCTTTCTTGGTCCCCCCAGAACTATAGTGTTTCTGGTAAAGGTAAATCTTCCCCTTGACAATTTTTGTCCAGTTGTGTCTGACTCTAGGGGGCGGTGCTCATCCCCTTTTCCAAGCCATAGAGTCAGCGTTTTGTCTGAAGACAATCATCCGTGGTCACATGGCCAGTGCGACTTAGACACGGAACGCTGTTACCTTCCCACCGAAGTGGTCCCTATTTATTTACTCGCATTTACATGCTTTCGAACCGCTAGGTTGACGGGAGCTGGGACAAGCGACGGGTGCTCATTCCGTCGCGTGGATTCTTACGACTGCTGGTCTTCTGACTTATAAGAATTTTTTTTCCTAAACAACTGCCAGGATGATGTATAGTGTTTCTGAGTCACCCATAAATACTTATAAGAATTTTTTTTTCCTAAACAACTGCCAGGATGATTTTTGATGACATATCACAGAATCCCTCCATCCGTATGGCCACTAAGTGGATTGGGGAAATTATTATCAAAAAAGCATCATGTAGCACCAAAAGACAATCTTTTGTGGAGCAAAGCCTAGTTTATTAGACGCAACAAAAACATGGATCCCGTTTACAACTGATGAGGTGGACTCTCGTCCATGAAATCAAACCTATTAGTTTTTTCAGGTGCCAGAAAACTTTCTTGTTGTTTTGGCTTCACAGAGATACCCAAACGTGCAGCAGAAAGTCCCCAAAAACTATTGTCTGTCTATAGATGCCATGTCAATACAATACTGAAGACATTTATGGTTGACCTCCCACTATGGTACCTACACATTTCCCCATTGGTGTTCTGCTTCATCAGTGATGCTTTCTCAAGTGTATGGGAAATTGCTGATTTTGGCCCTTTGGAGTTTGCAGAGTCAGGCCATTTCAAGACATTTGGAGGTGTGAGGTGAAGGGAAAAAGGGCAACTGAAGGTATCTTAGGAGGCACACACTGGTCTGTCTACTCTCCATCCCTCATCTCACCTTTTGCCTCCTGAGGCCGTTGCCTTGCTCTACCTGTGAGTACAGCCAGTTGTGGAAATTTGAGAAGTTAGATGTCACCAATAGCTGGCTGGATAGCTCAATGGTTTAGGTTTAGGCTGCAGAGCCAGAGCTTGGAAGTTTGATGCCCCGCGGTGCCTCCTACAAGGAGAGCCAGCCTATGTGGCCTTGGGAAAGGTGCACAATCCCAGGGTGATTCCAGGAGAAGGGAATGGCAAACTATTTATGAGTCTTCTCTACCTGGAAAACCCTGAAAAAGGGTCACCATAAGTCAGAACTGACTTGACAGCACATGATGATGATGATTAGATGCCATCAATATGCAGGTGACAGTCAACACTACAGCCCCTTTCAGACAAGAAAAATTAACACATTTAGAAGGGCAGGGATATAACTAAGGTAGAGCAACTGGGCCTTTTTTCCCAGGACACCAAAAATATAGCAAGCTGTGAAATCTAGAGTGTTAGGAAAATGAACAGCAACACCTCTTGGCTCTATTTAATACTACTAATACTTTTGATAGCACATCTTTCTTTCTTTCTTACTTATTTATTTCTCCTCCTTTTTCATGAGAGATTTGCACCCATGTGCCACAATTGAGTGCATGAGAAACAGAGTTTGCTGTACTAAAATGGCTAGTTCTAGCTCTGTAGAAAGAGAGTGGGGCCAGGTAGGGCCATATAAGTTAGTCCCAGCTTGAACATCCCTGTATGAAGAAACTTTAAACTTCTGTGCAATCCTTCTATAAGCAATCCCGCAGTAGTTCAGAAGGCTCCCGGCAACAGGGCAGGGGAGAGCAGATTTATGTTATCTGCTTTCTCCATCATTTGAAACCTTCCAGGTATATTGAAACCCCTTCCAATCTGCAGTTCTTTAATGGAGGCTCAAGCAATGATACAGGGGAACTTTCTCAAATTTCAAGTCTTGCAAAGACAATTGCCATTTATACTTTGAGAGCATTTTGCTATATATTTTCTTGTTCCATTTAAGAGTGACCTCCAAAGCATAATGCATACGTTTTACATATATGGTCAGTCACCACCTACACTCAATTGTTCTTTTCTCTTTAAGTAGTCAGCCAAATGCAAACTTATTGGGAAGTATTCAAATCACCCAGAGGTGAAGGAAAAACAATTTAATTTTTAGACTGGCATTTTATTAATAATCTTTCCCATAATAAGAATATATTCCTCTGTATCTGCAACATAAACCCTAAAATCATTTTGTAGGTCATCCATAACTATTTTAACTAATACATCCAGTGGTTTTGGATGAATTTTATAGTTGATCCTGTAGATTGATTATTGTAATATTTTGTTTGGGGCACATTTTAAGTTTCCTCCATAAATGTAAACTCCCCACCCCGGACAGTTCTGTGTTCTCATTGAAGTATCACAGCTTTTATTTTTTCCAAATGCACTCTGGTGAAAATTGTTATTTATTAACAACTGTAATTTGACTGATAAAAATTAGAATAAAATATACAGTTTTAAATAAATAAAATATACCGCTTTGCTAACAAGGTATTTTATAAACAGATATTCTCTCCCACATTCTTTCTCTCTTTCTCTTACTTTCTAAAAAGGATAAATAATCCTTTGAGAGGAAAGGAACTCTGTACGTCTGAGAAGACAATAAGGAAAGTACTAATCCTAAATAGACTATCAGTTCTATTGCAAACCACCACAATCCCTCATTTTGCCAATAAAAAGCAATGATTTAAATCAAAGCAGTGAAGATGGGTTGCGAGATGTAGAACACAATGTCCCACAATGCCGTTCGACTGCTCACCCCCCCCACCCCCATCGTCAGCCATATTAGTTGTAGTCCAGGCATTCTCCCTTGGTAAAACCTCCAAGGAATACTACTCTGGCACAGCATATGAGTATAAAACTACACTCCCATACTGCTCAGCGGACATATTAAATGGCGTCCAAACATCAGTCTTTTGAAAAAAAAGAGAGCGAGAGCCAATAGGCTTAGCGGTTTGGTGAGCAGAACTACATTTCCCATGATGCCCGGGAAGGCGCTTCAGTTTCCCCACTCACCCTCTTAGCTGTAGTCCAAACATCCCCGTTCGGCCATAGCGACCAACAGATCCAGGGCGTAAAGCTGGGGAGTAAAACTCCAACTCCCACATTGCATTGCCTCGAAGCCTTTTCCGCCATCTGAGTTGTAGTCCAAACGTCCCCCGGCCGCCTATAGAGTCGGGTGTGTCCTCGAAACCCCAGCGAACTCGCTCTCCCATCAGGCAGCGCGCGGCGAGTGTTCCCTTTTGGGCTTCCTGGGGCCGCCATGATGGGTTTTGTGTATATCTCTGTGTGTGTATATATGGATAGATATATATGAGCGAGGTGTGTGTATCAGTATGTGTGAGTGAGTGGGTGTGAAGGGGAGGGGGGAAGGAAGAGGAGAGGATGAGAGGGACCAGAGGAGGGGGCTCCACCAGCGGCGTGGGGCCTGGCTCTTTACCCCCCGAGGAGCTGTGGCAAGGATTAAATCCCCCTGCAAGATTTGCCCATTTAGAGAGGGGTGGGTGGCTTTAAAGCTCTCCCTTATGTGGGGGGAGGGATTGCTGGGCAGCGCAGAGCCCCCTTGAAGGACGACGTGGAGGGGGCGCGCTAGGCACCCCTTCCTTTGGATTGTAGCCGGGGGGGGGAGGAAGCGAGAGGGGGGGCGAGGGCTGAGAGGGCCCCACCCCATCAGTGGGGTTTGCAAGGTGACCAAGAGCTTGCCTGGCTTTGGAGGGGGGGTAGGAACGGTGGCGGACTTGCATGGGGAGGGGTGTGTGTGGAGAGAGTAAAAGCCCAGATGTCCCCCCCCTAACCTAAAGGGCAGGGAGAGCTCGTGAATTTGGGGGGGGGGCAAGTTCCATTTCGCCCCCTTTTGCTCCTCTCCCCTCTCCTCTTCCAAAGTGAATGGAGATGTAGTTAGAGTAACAAGGAAAGAAGAGGCAAAGCCCCCTTCTCCTCCTCCTCCTCCTCCTCTTCTTCTCCCACCTCCAGTAAGCCCAAAGAGTGGGGAGTGGGCTTCCAGAGGGGAGTGGTCTGCCTGTATTTGAAAAGGGGAGGGTGGGTGTTTGGGCAAGTAAGGAAAATCTCAGTGGTGGGCAGAAGAGGAGGAGGAGTCAAGAGGAAGCAAGGAGGCGGGGGGGGGGACACTGGAGGTTGCACGGCGCGCAGGCAATGCCAAGGCACTATCTCCAATTAGGGGTGTAGGGGGTCCCTGAGTAGGTGTGGGGCACAGGGTCCTAGCCTCCTTCTCTTCTTTTAATGTCCTGTGGCAGTGGGGCTGGGTGGGTGGGGGGCCCCTGGCACATCATTCCCTTTTTTTTCTCCCAAGGGCAACGAAGGAAACAGTGGAGGGTAGGAGAGGAGAAGGAGTGAGGTGTGGGGGAACTGCTGCTATGAATCTGTAAGAGCCTCGTTAGGGAAATCGTCCCGCCCCTCATTCCTCTTCTCCCTCTCCCCCCCCTCATATTTGTGGGGGGGACTGATAGAGAGAGGCACACACAAACACTCACAAATCCTTCAGCAACTGGCTGGATCTCGTCTCCCCCTCACTCCCCACCATGACAACAAATCCAGCATTAGAATCGCCATCCACCCCATGGCCACACAGCAGGTGAGTAACCCATTGCTCGTGTTTCTTCTCCCCCCAAACCGTTCTTGGATTTGAAAAGGGGGGGGGATGATACTTCCCACCTTCAATCTCCGCATCCTCAGCCACCTTTCAGGGGTGCTTGCCTGGGATGTGTGTGCATGTGTGTGCGTGTGTAGCGCTTGTAAGGCGTACAGCATCTTTTCTCTTTTGGAGGCTTCTGATGGATGAAGAAGATTCTTTGGTGCCTGGATGTGCTTCCCAAAGGTAAGTCCCTGCTCCTCTCCACCTGCCCATCTCTCTAGGCTTTGCAGAAGACTGTTTTGCAAGGAATAAAAAACCCTCGGTATCTTTTTTTCTTTCTTTCCAGAAGCAAACTCTTTCTCCTTTCCCTCCATGCCAATCTCCCCATTGAAAATTAATTTTGTCCCTCCCTCCCCCCCCCAACACCTTGAATAGGATGTCTTGGGCAGATCCACAGATGCTTTGCCAAGTAACATTACCCCCCACCCCAAATTAGATCTCTATTGGTTGGACTGTGTGAATGCACACAGCATGTGAAAACATCACAACAACTCAGATGCAGAGAAGGGGGAGGGCAGTCCAGCTCCAAGACAGAATGCACAAATATATCTCGTGTGGATGCGATCCAGACCTTTGCCTCCCCCTCTCCACCACAAATGCCAGATACTGTGCGGTGTGCTCCACGCGTATCCCATCTCCTTTGTTGTTTTGTTTTCTTGGGAATTTTCCCCATCCCTCCTTACGTTCTGTCACCTTGGGCTGGTGTGATTTGGTGTGTTATTTTGTTTCCTTCCTGCAAAGCCAATAAACACGCAGGTCTCCCTTTAACCAGGTGGATTTAAGAAGGATTGGGATCTGGGGAGATCATCTCTGGGTGGGCTGAACCTGATGGACAAGATGTGAGGGGTGGGGGTGGGTGGGAAGAGAAGCAGAGTAGCTTTGGCGTGTGCGGGGGCAAGGGTGGAACCAAAGTTTCCCCTCTCCGATTTCCAGGGGAAGGAATTACAGGACGTAAAGCGCTGCTTCTGTGTGTTTCTCATGTTTTAACCCCTGGAGGGGGGAGGAGGAGGAGAGAGAGAGAGAGAGGAGGGGCTGTGTCAGCCGATTTAAGGGGGCCCCGGGTACAGGATGGCTCCCGTTCTGTTCCTCCAGGAACTGTGGGGTACAGAGGGACCTGCAGGAGGAGGCTGGCCCCTAAAAGCTGCCTGGACTTAAAGGCGTTTATTCCCCCCCCCCAAGGGGGTGGGAGAGGGCACAAGAGATGTGTCAAGCAGGTTGCTTCTTGGCGGAGCCAGTCGAGGTTGGGGGTGGGGGGGATCTAGCAACTGGCACCATGGAAGGCCAGGCTGAGGTGTGTGGGATCCCTCGCCAGGACGGGCCCTGCCAGCTCTGAGGCCGTGATGAGGTACAGTGGAGACCAGTTCCCATTGAACTACCTGTCTTTTTTGCCTGTAGCTGTTCCACCTGATCTTTCAACGGCTTTGGGAGAAAGAAATGGGTGGCGAGGAGGGGGCTGTGTAGCTGGAGGTTGCAGGATGTTCCAATGTGCTGCTTTGTGTTCTGTGGGTTTGAGATTTGTGTGTTTTGTGAATGGGGTTGGAGGGCAATAAAGAAGGGTCTGGTTAGCTGTTCTATTCTTCCTGCTCGTCCTGCAATCTGAGCCACAGTCTTCCTCCCCTGCCTCAGCCCGACTCCCATCAGCCAGCCACCCGTCCGGTATTGGAAAAAGAACAGTAGGGAATGATTTTTTTTTTTAAAAAAAGTTTAAATGTTTACTCATCCCTGAGCTTTGTTGCTCCATTCCTTTGCTCCTAGAAAATGGAAATACTCTAATTTCCTTGCACTGCTAAGAATTGTAAGAGCACTGTAGCCAGAGACCAGTAACATTTGCTTTAAGAACTTTTGTTCCCACTCCCGAAAGACATCATCCTGGTGTCACCAGTTTCTTTTCTGATTCCTCCATGAACTTATACTTTCTTTTTCATTTGATGCTTTCAATCCTTCTCCCCAGCCAAGATGAATCTTTGATATGCATGACTCTGTCTGTTCCTTGGCCCCCTTATTTCTCTTTCCTGTTCAAAGCATTGGGGGAAATGAATGTTCTCCAAAACAACACATGCACCAAACCCAGGGCTTGTGTTTCCACTCCTTCCATAAGGTCCAGATGCTCTACATTTCTTTGCCCCATTGCCAGTCATTGGGTTCTGATGACACCATGACATTTAAGGTAAGTTCTACTGGGGCAATATATGGGGGAAGGGAGATGCAGGCAAAGTGTTATTTTCCCTTCCCCTGTCTTCATATGTTTAGAGTAAGATCTAGTTTGACACTTCTGAGTGCTGATGGTGTAAGAGGCATGGAATTGTTCTGCATCTCCTATTATTTCTGGGCAACATCTTCTGTGTCTTTCCTTTTTCTCCCAGCACTTTGCCCTAAAGAGAAAGCCAGGATAAAAAAAGACAGTTATAATTATCTGAATCTGTTGCAGAAATTTTCAGGAGCTAGTCGTGGTAGTCTGTTGCATCAAAAACAACAAAGAATCTGGTGATCCTTTAGGGACTAACATGTGGCATAAACTTTTATGAATGTCATATGGCTCCATCAGGTGCCATGCAAACTGGTTATTAAAAGTCACATTTTCTGCAGTGCTCTGAATATTAATAATAATAATCATCATAATAATCCACCTTACAGGATTACCCCTGGCTTTTCCCTTAGTTATTGTGCTTGGTTACGCTCTTCTACCATAAAATCCCAGTTTCTCCTAAATCTGCTTTTTTTCTCTTGCTTTCCCATATCAATGAACCAGCCTCCATGTGCTTTTCAGTGGCACTTCTCATTTTTTGTACAATTGGCACTTGAAACTTCTACTCTTTATTCCTGGATATTGTTATGGAACATCTTGTAGTTTCATTGTGTGGCAGTTGAATCCCTGAGCTACCTGGGTGGCAGGCAGGTCTTCCAGCAGGTCTGGAAAATTCCTTCAAATAAAAAGTCCGTCTAATACCGAGGTGTTTAGCTTGCTCTCAGTCTAACTGAGAACTGGTGTCCTTTTTTCCTTCCTTTTAAAATCAGATGCTGGTTTCTAAAAAGCATGGAATTCTCTGAGTGTGCTGTTGATGGGGTGCCTCTCCCCCACCCCTGAAAGGATCTACTTCTGGGGTAAAATTAATGTATACCTTTATAAGGCAACACAGTCATGATCACCACTGTGAGTATGTAATGCAGACAGCAAGATTACTTTCTTTTACATATGAAATGAGTCTCATGGCTACTGCTAGACTTGGCTGAGTATTTGGATTTTTTGGACATGACTGCTTCTACCATTTCTGTCCTCCTTTTTCAATACATCCCAGTCGGATAAGAGTCCTGGAGAACTTGAAAGCTTCCACATATTATGGAATTTTAGGTGGCCTTATGAAAACTACCAGCTGCCTCTGGATATTGGCTTTATTTGTTCTCCTGGACCAACACTGATACCTTTCATGTTATTTTAGGCCTGAATCACCCTTAACTGAAATCTCTGTGTCTGCTCTTCTATTTCCATCCTTGTATTTGCAGAAAACTACCTGTTCTTTTCTGCACCCTTGAACAAAACAGTGGGTGGAAGGCACCTGTGCCCCATGGTCTATGTGCACCTGTAATTAGAACACCTATAAAATGTTTTCATAGTGTGTTATGTCAGTTAAGTGTGAGGAGAAGTCCAAAGAGTAAACTATAAAGTTTTGTCTTTGATCAGAGCAGCATTGTGAAAAAATCCAGTGTTTTTATTGCACATCTGGGTGATTGTTTATATGGTGCATGGAGCACTTGGATTCTCATCCCTCTTAAGAGTTTGCTGGGGAGGAGGGAATCGGTGTCGTTACCATTTTTGAAGTGAGAAACCGAGGGAAAAAGAGTGCGGCACTCAAGTCTGTCTGATATATTTCTCGTGAAGGTAGAATTTGAACCCAGGGCTGTTTCCCAGCTTTCTAGCTACTCCAGTAGCTTGATCAGAAAATCATTTATTGGCATTATGTATGGTTCTTTTCTCTACACAATGTTTGTGCTATTTTAATTTGTAACGAAATAAGACAGTGGCACCAGAGGTTGGGAGTTTGGTTCCCCTCTGTGCCTCCTTGGCAGGGGCTGGCCTTAGTGACCCATAAAGTCCCTACCAGCTCTGCAGTCCTCAGATTTTACTACTACTGCTGCTCCTAAGTGATTTGAACCAGTGGAGTCCCATTGATCTGTTTCTCTATTTCAGGAAATTTACACTTTAAAGGGGAAAATACAACACTTTTATATCATTAATTATAGGATCGAATCAACATATTACAAAATCTCTTTCCGATCTCTGTCTTCTTTTGCTCAGTCTTTTTTGATATTGATATATCGCTGTGTCCAGAGTTGTGTTGAATTTCTGGAGCACCCCTTTTTATTTTTTTATTTTTTTTGCTTGTCGTCCTTAAGGCCTGAAACTCTCTGAGCCTGTGGCTCGAGAGGGCTGAGTTAGAGCTTCCAGGAACAAGAAGCAGGTGGATTTGAATCAGTGCTACAGTGAAAGCAGGATAAATAGCATAGATCTTTGTGAAACTGACAAATTTGGAATCATTGCGGCAGATCAACAAACTCTGTTTTCTGTCCTTGATGAAGGTGGTTTGCTTTGTCTGCAACTTTGTTTTCGTAGCACAGCTTGTTTCTTGCAGCTCTAGCACTTGTTGTTCAATAGCAATTTCCCCCCAAAGTTTTTTTTCGCTTGGGGTGTTTCCATTTCTTGTGCAATTATGTGAGTTTTGTGGTTGGGGAGTTAGTGATGGAATCTTGCAAAAGGCTGGGGCAAACAAGAGAACGTATCATGATGTTGCCCCTTGTACTGTTTATAGTTATGTTGCTCAGTACAGTACGTACGTTTATATCCTACTTTTCTCCTATGGTGGAACTCAAAAGTAGTACAGTACTGTATATGTAAGGTGTTGCATCAGGCCCAGACTTGCTTAGCTCCATCAAGGTTGCTGCATCATATGCCTTCCGGGGACAGACTCTCTGGGGCCTTCCACAGATGTTTTAGACTATTCCATTCTTTAAAAAAAAACCTCTGGATTATGAATATTAGATTTTGTACTTTTCTATCCATGATTCAAAACTCCAGGAAATGGCCTGATAATGTAAGGTGTTGCATCAGGTCCAGACTTGCTTAGCTCCATCAAGGTTGCTGCATCATATGCCTTCCGGGGACAGACTCTCTGGGGCCTTCCACAGATGTTTTAGACTATTCCATTCTTTAAAAAAAAACCTCTGGATTATGAATATTAGATTTTGTACTTTTCTATCCATGATTCAAAACTCCAGGAAATGGCCTGATATTGCTGCACAATATCATGCCTGCGTTGTCAGCAGGAAAAGGGGTGCTGTCTCTTTGCATAGCAAGAGACAGCCCGAATGTTGACAACACCAGTGTTAGCAGTCAAGATGGTCTACAGGATACCCTCTTGTGCTCACTGCCATTCACAGAGTGCCAACAAGCAAGGGGAAATCGCAGAAGCCAGCTTATTTTTTCCTTCAGTTAACCACCCTTTGACCTCTCAGGTAAAGCAGCTGCCAGGACTCTTTTTCAGCAAGTCGAATGGTAGTGGGTGCAAGAAGGAATCCTGTGTAGACCATCTCAACTGCTGCCATTGGTGTTGTAAGCATTCAGAGTGGCCTTTGTTATGTAATGCTTGGCATCCTTTTTCCTTCTGGCAACGCAGACACAATATTGTGCAGCAATTTCAGGCTATTTCTTGGCTTCTTGAATTGTGGGTGAATTGAATTGAATTGATACTTCCTATTTATTTATGCCATTCTCCGAACACCCCAGGAGTACAGTATCTCAAATTCCTAAACTGGAGGGTTTCTTTAAGAATGACATTTCCTGGCTTTTAAAAACAGGAGTTTAAATATGCATACACTACACACACATTCAAACAAACATTTCCCTCATATAGAATAACCAGTATTAGAGGATACCAGAAAATGAGCACATGATCTATACTATGGGTTGCTGGAAATAGAAGCAAGAAGAGCTAGGATATGTTTACAGTCCCTCTGTGCCAAAACCACTGTTTTTGGACTTAATGAAATGGTGCAGCAAAGATATTAGTAAGTGTAGTACATGCAGTGGAGAAAAATACACACCCTTTGACCTCTCAGGTAAATTAATGTTGCCATGCCTCCTTTGCAGAATGCAGCCTAGAAAGCTATGTTCCAATTTCCAAACTCTTTCCTTGGGGGAAGCAAAAAGAAAGAAAGAAAGAAAGAAAGAAAGAAAGAAAGAAAGAAAGAAAGAAAGAAAGAAAGAAGGACGCCATCAGACTGAAAGCTCTATAGACCTGTTGTATGCATGTTTTCCAAAAGATGTCTTCTCACCTACTTAATTTTTTTTAAGGAAAGCTAGGAGTTACCAAAGATTGTCCCTGGAAACCAAGGTCAAAATCATCTGTGCTATGTGAAAGGAAGACAGTGAGGAAACACAGGGACAAAAATCAAACTCATTTGAAATGTGGTGTTGGAGGAGAGCCTTGCAAATTCCACAGACAGCCAGGAAGGCAGGAAAGTGGGTGCTCAGTTAAGTCAAGCCTGTAGTCTCACTAGAGCAAAGAGTAAGCTGGGGCTGTCGTACTGTACATATATAATGAAAATACAGAACTGACCAATGTTGCTGGGGAAAGTGGGGAGAGGTCAGTAGGAAGAAGAAAGATGTCACATGAGACAGATTGTCTCAGTAAAGGAAGCCACCACTGTTAATTTTTAAGACCTGAGCGGAACATACTGGAAAAGGTAATTTTGCTACAAAGAGGGAGCAGTAGGAGGAGAGAACAATTTAATATGAGATGCTGTTAGTTTGCATGATCTGAGCAAAGCTGCTAATGATATGACACTTTGGAGGTAATTAACTTATATAGTCATCACACATCAGAAGTGACTTAATGGCACATAACATTTTTTGAAATATTTTCTTAATTACCAGAAAATTATATAGTGACAAGATGGGTGGAATGGTTGAAACCATGACGAGGATATAGGCACCAAAACTCTGCTAACACTGAGTGAGACCATCCCCATCAACAAAGCAAAATATAGCAACTTCACAGCTTAAATGAGTGAGCTTTTGAATATTTGTTCTCTACTCTAAATATTTTTACAACCAGACACAGAATTCTTTTTGCTAGCACAAATGCCTGCTTGACCAAGAAGGAATTAAAAAGTTCTCATCCAGAAAGTACCGTAATTTAATTGGGTTGTGACTGATAGGATTGTCTCAGACCTGGAGCTGATTTCCCCTTTGAAGACTTGTGTTAGGAGCCTGGCCTCAGAAATCCTCAGAGAATGTTTACTAGAAAGGACTCAGGGCAGGGAAAAACACAAATGCTCTATGCTTTTCTAATGCAGAAATACTTTGAATGAGTCTTACAAAATTGTAGGCTAATTCCTTGGAGTTATATGTAAAAAAAGTCACCCTTTCTAGAGGATTGTCATTCCATTACTTTTTTAAAAACAAAAGCAAACTGGGCTATGTGTCGGGGTTCTCTCTCTTTTTTTACTCCTTTGTCTGTTTTGTGTCCTTTCATTGCCCTCCAAACATCTCCCTTCCCCTCAATGAAGCTGAAAAAATATATCTACAGTACTTTGGAACACTCTTGCTATTAAGCTTGTTCCACACATGCTCTATCTGCAGTTTTGAAAGGCCTTTTTTGAGGATCAGTATTTCAGTCTCTGCAGCCTGGAATCTTTTAAAAAAAATTTAAGTGGGTGGGACCAATCATTCTCTTTCAAGATAAGCAATACTGATATTTTCAATATGTATGAGCTATTTTAAATATGGGGAGACTTGTTTCTGCACAGAGGGGAAAGCAGTTTTACTTTTAAAAAGTCATAACTTGAAAACCCTTTGCTCAAACCTCCGTAAATATTGCATAGAACAAGAGCAGAATGTGTGCTACATCTGTGCCAAATATGATGCTGATCCAAAGTCCAGTTTCAAAGTTACAATTGTTTATTTGGACTGACCCATTTTTAGAATTGCCTTGTGGAATACTGATTTGCTCTGCTGCACAGCAACATAGCTGCACCACCATGGTGCTATAATAAGCCCCAAGATCCCAGACCCCTTGTTGTGCTGATGGGAACAGTAGTCCAAAACATCTGGAAGGAAACAAGTTACCAACATTTTGCAAGATTGTTAACAATACAACATGATTAAATAAACCAGTACCTTGCTGTTCTGTGTGAATGAACTGATATGGTAGATGCAACCCCGGGCTTTGTTATATTTAAAAATGGCTTGTTGTGCATAGTGGAGGACTGATATACAAGAAAGACAGGCCTACCCCATCAGTAGACTGCACTAATTGTACGTGATTTTTATTTGGATCCTGAACAGAGCTTTGTCATTATAACTGGTTTTTATTCCACCGGATCCAGTCAATAGAAGATTGGTACACAACTTTTCAAGGAGCTTTATCTTCCTGTTTTAAATTTGATTCTCGGCTTTTTATTTGTGAAGTTCATAGTGCAGCTAAATGTTGCAGAACCTGTGTTTTAGTTGCCAAATTGGCTCCTTACCGCAGTGTGATTTTCTGTCTTTTTGTGAATGCTTATATTTGGAAGGGGGGAAGTTTAAATACTGATTAAAAATTGTTTCATGGCTCTTGAGGATATGAGACAAATAGATATCTCCCTTTCCATTAAATTAGTTTGCCCTTAAGAGGTGTGCCCTTCTGCTTCTGGTTGGAACAGTTTTCTCTCTGGACCACAACCTGGCGCAGAGATTTTGAGAGTTGTAGTCCCATAGTAACTTTCTCAGTGTGTGCCTCAGAAGCCCTGGCCATATCAGGAGACTTTCTTCTTCGTAACAAGAAACAGCTCCTGAACGTGTTAAAAGCTCAGCGTCGTTTGTCAGGTGCATTGGCCTGCTGGCAGGAAAGAGTGAAAATCCCTTCCACATGTTCGGCAATATTTTTGGAACAGACGGTTGGGAGCAAAGGTGGAGGAGTTAAACTCCGAGAGGAGCACTCGCCAGCAAGGTGACATTCTTGGTTGCTTAAGGCCGAGAACCTGCCCCAACTGGCAAGTTCTTAAAGAGGGCGCCAGAGTCGGTCCTGTAACCTGCCCCAGTTTATACGGCTCCTAAAATTCCAGTTAACCTTCCTAGAGTGTCTGCTTCGCTGAGGGTGCCTGCATGCAATCTTAGCTTGACGTATTGGAGGTTGTGAGCCTGCTGTGGACCCAAAGCCCCTGCAGATGCCTACAGCTGGAAGACACTACCCTTTTGTGCTAGAACTCCCAGAAGCCCCTAGCCCACATGGCCACTAGCCAATCAGTACTTGCCAGTTGGCAACTGGTGTTTCTGACCCTTCTGGCCTTGCAGAGCTGGTGAGGGATAGCCCCAAGAAATCCTGCTGAACTGTCTTGCCAGCATGAGATCGAATGGGTCTCCCTCGTTTTGTTTGGACTTGATTCTCCTTCCTGCAAGCTAATTCTGTCTTAATGTTAATCTTTCCCAGTTTCTCTCTACCTCAGTTTTCTTCAGGGTTCATTTTCAAGCTGTGCTCTTTTTTAAACAGAGTGATTCTTGTTTCGTAACCCAAAGTATTTGTTGTAAGTAGGATTGAGTTTTTGAAGTTTTGTGGATGGGTTTGGCACATGGCTCCCAGTTATGTACCAACACGTTTGTTGTGCTCTGTTGTTTTAATAATTGATTTATTTACCATTTTAAAGGTAATACTTGTTTGATTCTTTTTTAATGTTCATATATTTACTGTTTTTTAGCTTTTGAATATTGTACTTTTAATGATGTGAGCTGCCTTGGGTTCTTTTTGGGGAGAAAGATGGGATAGAAATACTTTGAATCAATCAATCAGTCAGTCAGTCAATCAATCAATCAATTAATATGCATAAGCCTTTTCTCCCCCAAGTAGCTCTTGCCTCTTTCTTCATTCGGCTCCTTTCCCTGAACCCTACAGACTGTACTCTGCTTTACTTTACCCATCTCCCTTCCTTGGAAAACGACATCTGCTAATAGAGCTATGTTGCTTTTTCTCTCTTTCCCCAGCCCAGAGAGTAGCTGAAGCGGGACGTAGCCAATGTCGTCCAGCAAAGGGGCGGGGGCTGGAGCTCGCCGGCGGCGGACGCGGTGCCGGAAGTGTAAAGCTTGCCTGCGGTCAGAGTGTGGGGAGTGCCACTTCTGCAAGGACATGAAGAAGTTTGGGGGGCCCGGGCGCATGAAGCAGTCGTGCCTCCAGAGGCAGTGCACAGCGGTGAGTGGGAGAGGGAGCTGACGTGGCTGAGACCACGGGCAGGCTGCACGGTGGGTTGCTGCGGAGGTCTGGCTCTGCTCTTCTGCGATGACAAACGGGGCAAGTAGATGCAGTTCAGGAAGGAGGTGTTACAGGTTTTTTTTTGCAAGGCATAAGTTTCCATTCCTTATGATATTGAAAGAAAATACCTCCTAAGCTCGCATTGTTGAAATCACCATACCTTGCAAGTATTCCTGCTTAATGAAGAGCACTGAACAGATAGAAAAATGTGGCTCCTTTTCTTTTCCCAGTCCTCTTTCATGTGAATTTGCTTGCGATTCTTGTGCAGTTCAAAGATACCGAAAAATTGCGTGCTACAGTTGCTTCTTAGCATTTCAAGAAGCAGGTGGGAGGAATTCCATCTCTGAGGGGTTCTTCATATTTATAAAACGCACCACACATTTCCCTCCATGTAGAAAGCTAGCATGACCAGGGAGAAGGTTTTCCATTATTGCCAGCGTAAACACAGGAAAGCATTGACATAATGTGTTATAGCGATGTACCACTTTTTTGCATCCTTAGAATATGCAGAGATTCCTACTATAACTTTTCAAAGAAATTCTCTGCATCCAAAAATCTAGGGTGTCAGGAAAACCTTCTCCGGTGGAGGAGTTATGTTTTTAGTTTATGTAGGTAAACAATTAAGCATTCTACTCCCTGCCCTGGCATCTGGAAATGGTACAGCCCAGGAACGGAGCATTCTGCAACCTTTTTATCTGTATGTTTGTATCTCCTCCTGCAAGGCTGAAGTAGACATCTGTGCTGCCTACCGGTCTCAAAGCAAAAGTCATCTCTGAGCCATTTAGATACTGTATTCAGATATCCTATGGACTTCCCCCTATACACCACGTCAAGCAGAAAAGGCATGCAGAACATTCAGCCCTGTAGAGATTTCAGTCCACTTTATCATTGGCCCTTTCTTATCTGGCCAATGATAAGGTATTGTGTGAACTGCAAGTCCCATGCATGGAAGAGGCAGTTCTCAAGAAGATGTGGAGTAGTATTTAGTATTTAACATGCCAGCGGCATTTCAGCCTGTTGGTATTTTATGGTATCCTTCTGAGCGTTAACAAGAATGATCTCTAGAAATTTAAGCTGAAAGGGCAACTGGTACAGCATAACAAAGATGTAAGCATAGAAATGCTTATGGTTCTCATTTCCCTGTTGCTTCAGTGTTTTAATTATCAATCAGATTGTTTGTTCCACACTTCAGAGTCTTAGATCAGGGTGGAGAGAATGTAGCTCTCCAGATTGTAACTTGGCAGCAGCTACTACTAGTCCTTGCTTTTGCCTCTCCTGCCTGGTGCTGATGGGAGTTGTAGTCTAAGAACATCTGAAGGGGTTGGCATTCACTCATTCCATCCTATATCCTTAGGAATCCCTATCACATTTGAGATTCTTGCCATAATGTCATACATGAATGGCTTCTATTTAAATATCTTGCACAGAGGGAAGCAGCTTCGTGTGAGCAGGGCCTCACCCACCCTTTCATTTTGTTGTCATTATGTGCTGTAGTGATGGAAGTTGGGTTTTCAGGGTATGCAAGATATTTAAATAGTGCTTTTACCAACACACACCCTGCCTTTGACAGAGTTCTTGTGGCTGAGCATGGATTTGAACCCAGGCCTCCTGAGTCCCAGTCTGCCACTCTATCCAGTATACCAGTTTTTAATATATATATTTTTGCTCCATTTTCCAACCATCGGTCGGGCTCTCTCTTATTGCAGCCAGTTCTACCTCACACGGCCGTGTGCCTGGTGTGCGGGGAGGCCGGGAAAGAAGATACTGTGGAGGGCGAGGAGGAGAAATTCAACCTGTCACTCATGGAGTGTACCATCTGCAATGAGATTGTGCATCCGGGCTGCTTGAAGGTGAGGGGGCAGATGGAAGGCGGGCAGGAGGAGGAAGGTCCATTGACGGCTGCCAAGCCTGCCTGTTGATCTGCCATGCTTAGACATTGCCTGCCTTTTTGCCTTCCAGATGGGAGTTGCCGAAGGGGTCATCAACAATGAGATTCCAAACTGTTGGGAGTGTCCCAAGTGTAAGAGAGAAGGCAAATCGATGAAAGTACGTAGATGGGACCTGCAAGGTGGAACAGGGTGGGGTAATACCATTGTATTGTGTAGTAAAATTGCACTAGAGTAGGCCCACTAAATCCAGTGGGGATTTGGTGAGTCAGCTCCTCTGAGTTTCATTGATTTCAAATAGGCTTTCTGTAACTTTGACTTACTTTAGCGCAGTAAGTTGCAGGAAAAGAAGGCCCCTTCGAATCAGTGGAACTTATGGAGGAGTCAGTTCAGCGGGCCTACTCTAGCATGATCTGTTGTGCTAGCCAACAGAATTTTGGCCAGTGTCTTCCTTCCTGTTTTGCAGCTTGGACGGGGAATGGGAGGTTTTGAAACAACTGGGGAGGGACATGTTTTCAAGGGAGAATAAGTGGGATTTGATCCTTCCGACATATGCGCACCCATGCCTTGGGTCTGCGTATCAGTTGTGGAGGTGGGAGCCCTGCTGACACTTCCTGTCTGTCTTGTCATCCTCGTGCGCTTAGGACTCAGGTGATGGCATGGGGAAGCGCCGTTCTGACAATGGGGAGGATGGTGTGCGGTGGAAACTGACAGATGAGCCAGCTCAGAACAAGAAGAAGTTGGCGCCAGCTCCACCCCTGCCCCCTCCATCCGCTGAGGAGAGCCAAGTTCTGGCCGGAGCCCATAAGCGCAAGAAGGAGAAAGATCTCCCACCGCCAGACACGGGACCCAAGAAGAAGGTGAGGTTATGAGTTTGGCCAGAAAGCTTCTTCCTACCTTTCCTGGAGCCAGATTCTTCCAGGGTCCCTCGCTTCTTTTCCTCTCACTCTGACAAATGAGGCCCTTGCATCGTTAGACAGCCTTCCCGCTGTGTTAATGGGGATGATGTGAGTTGCTCTCCACTGAACACATCCAGAGGACACAAAGCTGAAGGAAGCTGCCACCTTTAGCTGCAACAGCCCATTTGATCTTTCTTTGCCTAACTTCCTGTTCCTGAGAGTGGTCAGACAGATGCTTGCAGGAATTGGACATGCAGGAACAGAGGATCATCCTCTACTCTTGTCCCTCAGTGGCTGCTTGTGTTAAATAATATTCTCCTGAATCCTGCTATTTCTGTTTTAACTCTCATGGCTGATAGACCTGTCATATTACACAGATTTGTCCTGGAATCCCTTCTAAATCTGTCTTGTGGTCACTGCTGAATCTGAGGACAGAGAATCCCTCACATTTGGTGCTTCCCCCACCACCATTCAGAAGTTTCTGCCAATCAGATTCATTGGACAACTCCAAATTTGAGGAGACGATGGAGTAGCTTTTCATTTCAGCATCTTGTTCCTAGTTCCATAAGCTATTTGATTTTTACATTTAAGCTTTCTTCACTGAGACAATCAAATTTGGATTTGGGGAGTTCAGGGGTTATTTTCTGAGCCCCATGATAACTTCCACTGCACTCAGCATCTAAAATACCCATGTCCATAGGGGAGTGTTTGCTTGTGCAGGATCAAATCTTTTCCATCCAGAAAACACTGAGTGAGAAAAGCACAACCTGGGGAGAAAAATTAAAGAAAATTAATATTTCTTGTACTGTGGATAATTTTGTGGCCCCCAGTGAACTCCACCATCCCTCATAATAGAAGAAATGTTTTCCCCGACACGGGACAACCCGCTAACAAGCAGAGCTCATCAAAAGTGCAGCTTGAGGGTTGGAATACCTTTTGTAGTGTATGAAGGCGAATGATCCTTTCTTCCTAGGGCCAGATCTGGAGTCTAGGAACCTGCTTTCCTGGAGATTTTATGTGTGAAAAAGCAAGCATTGTTAAATTTCAGTTTGCATCAGCCCCTCTGAGCATGGCCAGTGGTCATTGATGATGGCAGATTTAGTCCTACGATATCCAGATGGCCACAAGATCCTTACCTCTGAGTTATATCTACTGTATTTTTCGCACCATAGGACGCATTTTTTCCCCACAAAACGGGGGTGGAAAGTCTGTGCGTCTTATGGAGCGAAGAAAACAGATTATATTTTCCTGTTTTCTTCTCCTAAAAAATTGGTGCGTCTTATGGAAAGGTGCATCTTATGGAGTGAAAAATACGATAATTCTTCCAGAGTAAGTGATCACGCTATAAAATCCCAGCCGTACCACAGATCTTGAAAAAGTTAGGTTTGGGGGCTATACTCCCAGTGGCCCTGTTGGCTGGGGGATCCTGGGGGTTGTAGCCCAAAAAAGTAACTTTTCCAAGTTCTACTGTGGTAATTGGGTGGAGGGGAGCAAACTGTCTGCCTGACTTGCTGACGTTTTTAGAATTTATTGTTCCATTTTTAATTCCTTGTAACCTGTTCCATGTCCTATGCCCTCTTTCCACGAGGAGCAACCAGGGCTTGAGATTCTTCTTAACTTTCCTCTTAAGCACACCCTGATCCTGAATTTCAACATGTTCTTGGTCTCGCTTTCTCTTTCAGTTAAAAGGGACACGGGAAAAGCATTTGAAAAAGGTAAGTGCATGACGTCACTCTGCCCCCATTGAGCAGGATTTCATTGAACAAGGTGCCCAAGAAGAACTGTGGAGTGAGTTATGTTTGCGTATTTACTTTCCACAGTCAAACACGGGAGGTGCAGTATCCTCATCACAACACAGGGTGCATGTATTATGTTCATCAGCTTGCAGTTTCAAGGGACTTCACATTTTGTACCACAGCCCTTCTCTAACCTAGGGATGGCCAGATATTTTGGACTGGTTGGGATCCATCCGAACTGGAGGATCCCAAGTTGTCGGAGAGAACACCACTAGACAGGAACCTAAACATGTCTGATCCCCACCTCTCATGAACAGCAACAGATACAGAGGCTCATGTGATTCATAGCTTCACTGCATACATAAGGAGTACATAAAGTACACCCTATAGATAATGATTTGTGTTTGACCTCTATAGCTGGTCTTTTCTTTAGTGAGCTCAGGGGAGACACAGGAAGCCAGATTTAGGCTGAATATCAGGATAAACTTCTTAACTGTTAGAGCAGTACGACAATGGAACTAATTACATCAGGAGGTGGTGAGCGCTCCAATGCTGGAGGCACTCGAGAGACAATTGGACCACCATCTTGTCTTATCTGCTTTTATTTGGATTCCTGCATTGAGCCGGGGGTTGCACTCGATGGCCTTACAAGCCCTTCCAACTCAATTCTTCTATGACTCTATGAATGTAAAGGTCTCTCTTCCTCCCCACGCAACAACCCTGCGAGGTAGCCAGGTCAAGAGCGTGTATCTAGCCTGAGGTCACCCAGTGTATTTGATGGTCTAGTTGGAATTCTAATCCAGGTTTCCAGCACTAAGACACTGTTATTTTAAGTTACACTCCACTATCATCTATCAATTTACTACACAGTCATGCCGGTTTGATACTACTACACCTTGTGGCTCTTCTGTTTTACAGTTTCAGGAGGTTCTTTAAATTCTCTGCTAGAGAGTTGTCCAGCGCTGTAATTCAAGGGAGTGCATTACAACTCCTCAGCAGAAAAATACATTCCCCAAACTATAGATGTTTGGCCCGTATGTGCAGGATTAAGTATAGCTTTCGTCCTTGTGACTATTTCTGTATGTCGGAAACTTCTTGTTTGTTCACTTTGGATTGGCTTCTCTTCCAGGCTACGGAGCAGCCACCTGATGGAAACAAGTTGCAATCCATGCAGACCTGGAGCCGAATGGGCAGCGGGGATTTTGAGGTGAAGGGTGCTATCTCCCACCCATCCATCCACTTGAACCAGATCACGGCCAGCGACTTAGAGGTGAGAGGCCTAGAATGCAGGGCTTCTGTCCCTTCTGGTGTTTGGAAGCGGGCAGCTGGCAGCCCTTGGGATAGAGGTGGGGAGCCTTTGGCCCTCCAGATGTTTCACATGGCAACCTCCATAGTTCTTTGTTCTTGGCCTCATTGGGTGAGGCTGATGGCGAAGTGCCAGCCAAAGCATCTGGAGCGCCACTGATCCCCCTGCCTTCCTCTGAGCAAATTGGATTCCATCTTTAGCACACACAAAAAGGGTTCTGCGGAATCATACTGTAGCATCAGGTTTGGATGGGATTTGCAAAGATCATCTAGTCCAGCCCCATGCAAATACAAAGTCCCTGGCTAGGTGTTTCCTTATCTGGTGAACTATCTGATCCAGCAATCCTGTTCCCAGGCTGCTAAGAAGCAGGGCATGAAGTCAATGGGATTGCCCCACTGTTGTTCCCCTGCCCCACACTGCCTCTGAAATCCGGAGTTGCATTATAACCCTTACCTTGGATAGTGAAAAAGAAGGGTGTGCAATCAGGTTGTGCATGGACAGCAGGAAGGAGGGGAGAGAGGAACACCGCCATCCTCTCTGGACCTCCAAAGCTGCCTTATAGCAGGTTTTGTCTGTCCATGGCCAGTCAAACCCGCTGAGAGCTTAGAAAAGTAGCTTTTCAGGATGATGGTTTCAAGTGTCCCGCCCCTAACGTGGCTGTGAAGTGATCTGTCGCTTGTGCTCCTCGTGGCCACTAGGTGGGGCTGTAGTTTTAAGACATGGTCTTGACCGGTTGGGGAGGGCCAGGTTGTAAATAAGTGTTCAAAGCATCTGGTGGTGGGAAGCCATGGGTATTTGCGTTTATTTTTAGTTTCCATGAGAACAATGTACGCCTTTGATCCTGTAATTTGTCTGATTCTAGCTTTTCCCACCTCAAGGCAGGTAACAATCCATTGAAAACATTTATATGCTCTTTAAAAATACTAATCATTGACACCCTTACTGATCTATTCCTGGCCCCTGGTTTTTAAAAGATTTGCCAATTATGTCTAGAAGATGGCCAGTTTGGGGCTCTGGTGAGTTTCTGGGCAGTTGTATGGATTTAAAAAAACATTTCTGTCTTTCAGCCATGTGCTTCTGAGTGCCTTACAAACAATGGCTAGGATAAAAATATTAAAAGAAGACCCCCCAACAAAGTTGAGAAAGTTGTGGTTTTCACAAAGTAGAGCACAAACGGAAAAGAAGAGAGAGCAGTCATTATGAAAAGGAAGCCGTTTTTATATGATCCTGGTAAAAATAAGAGCTGCTGGATAGCGCATTAGTTTTAGGCATCTGGTTGCAGGGCCAGAAGTTGGGAGTTGGATTCCCCACTTGTGCCTCCTTGACAGGGGTTGGACCTGATGATCTATAGGGTCCCTTTTAGCTCTGCAGTTCTAAAATGGTGATGATGATGGTAAAGTAGATGTTTGATGCAGTAGTTACACTTTGGGAAAGGGGTTCTGCAGGTGAAGGGCTCCGCTAAGAAAACATTATCATCATTTGGCAATCCACCTCATTTTTGAAGGCGAGGCCTCATGGGCTTCAGGGTCTCTGCTCCAGAGTTTAGGAGCCATGTGGGTTCAATATTGGAGTTTATGGCCTTCTGGCTTGAGGCTGTTGGATGAAACCAGCCCTTGGAATTGTGCCCAGAAACATCCCGGCAGCCAGTGAAAGTCTCTTTAATAGTGGCTTGACTTAATCAGTTCTAACTGTCCTGAGTAACCGCTTAGCTGCCATCTGCATTTCTGCACCAGCTGAAATATTGGACTGCTCTTCCTAGGCACTCCCAGATATAACACGTCTGCAATAATCTTAAGTTGAACATTTTTAGGACATAAATCAATGCAACCATATAGATGGTAGGTGCAAAGGGATGGCGTGCTCGAAAAACTTGGAGGTTGCGATGGAACATTTTTTTCAGCCCGTTGATTATTGTGCCTTTCTTCTACCCTGGAACTTGGGGCTGCATTCAGTGTGGCTTGATTGTGTGTCTATCACAACCAGCGATGAGTGAAAATTGAGATTTATGTAAGTAAAAGATAAAGATGCAGAAGTTCTTAGGTTACTGTGAACGTCCATTGTCTTAAAATGAATATGTAAACCTTGCCAGCCTTAAGCTCTGGAACTCCTTGCCAAGGGAGGCTAAGCTTGCTCTCTTTCTGTTGCACTTCTACTGGCTTTACCAGTCGGCAAAATAGGAATCAAGGCAGGCCTTCGGCATGGAAGCTGTCCTGTATTAGCTGATGATGTATGTAATAACACAACTTATCTTTGTGTGGTTATTTATATTTTGAATTTATTTGTTCTTGCACTGTGTTTTTATCTGCGCTTCGTTTATCATATGTTTTATTTCTAGATTCTTTTCACTATTTTAGTTAAAAGGCAGAGTATAAAATTACATAAATGCTACTTGTGACTTGCATTCATCATTGTTACCTCAAACAAGTTGTCAGCAGAAAAAAAAATTTAGGAGGGCTTCAGAACAGGAGAAATTGCACTTCTAAAGAATGGTGATTCTTCTGTAAATAAGGGCGCCTTCCTTCCTCCCTCCCTCCCTTCCTCCCTCCCTACCTATCTACCCACCTTCAGTCCCCAAATGTTCTTGGGCTACAATTCCCAGAAATCTTGGCCAACACAGCTAGTGGTGAAGGCTTCTGGGAGTTTTAGTCCAAGAACATCTGGGCACCCAAGGTTGAGAACCACCCACTGTCCTAGATGGCTTTAGACTGCAGTTCCCATCAGCCCCTGCCATTGTAACCAGTGGATTGTCAGGAATCATAGTTCAGAAGCATGTGGGGAGTTACTGAATGTGCCTACCCCTGAGTGAAAGGTGTCATGGGCTTTCGAGCGAGGTTGAGTAGTCTGCATCTTTGACAACAGCTCCTTCTTTTCTCTGCCAGAAGCCGAAGGGTCCTCCTGGCCCTTTGGAGCCCTCAGCCCAGGCCGACCGGTCCCATCAGCGGGAGAAGCTGGAACGCTTCAAGCAGATGTGCCAGATGTTGGAGCGGGTGAAGAACAGCAGCAGCTCCAGTTCCAGTTCTGACTCGGACTCTGACACAGACTCCCGGGGCTCGGAGGGCTCCAGCGGGGGGGTGTCGAGCCGAGCCACCTCCCCGGCCACCCGTTCCCAACGCCTTGCTGCCTTGGGCTTCAGCGCCAGCGAAGAAGAGGAGGAGGAGGAGGAAGAGGAGGAGGAAGAGGAGGAGGGCGGGCGGCGCAATGGAGGGTCGGAGGCGACGGCGCGGAATGGCAAACAGCCCAAAGCTCGCGGGAACTCTCAGGAGAAAGAGAACAATCATCGTCCGTCCAGCCGGGGGAGCGAACGGGCCAAGCAGCAGGCGGGCGGGCGCAAGGCAGGCCGGCCTGCTGGACAGACGGGGCTCCGCATGGTGGCCCGGACTCAGTTCCTCCACTGGCCCCTGGTGCCCTCCCCTCCCAAGCCCCTGCTGCAGCTGGAGCGGCACGTGGTCCGGCCGCCGCCCGACAGCCCCGAGCCCGACTCCCTGCCCTTGGACAGCGGCTCCGACCACATCGTGCAGCGGGACATTTGGCTGGCCGTCTTCCAATACCTCAGCTATCGGGAGCTGTGCGTCTGCATGAGGGTGTGTCGGACGTGGAGCCGTTGGTGAGTGAGGGGGGGCGAGAGAGGAGCCGGGCGTGCTGCTGTGGAGGACGTCTCAGAGGGCTGCCGATGGGAAGGAGCGTGGGAGGCCCCAGGAGAGGCGGGAGGGGGCGCAAACTAGGTGCTGTCCCAGCTATTGATTTGTGACATCTTGTATACTAACCCTCCCCTCTTGTTTTAAGCCACCCAAGGCAATGTTCCCTCTAAATTTCAGCCTTGCTGGGTGGGACTGTACCCCTCTGGCAGGCGACTTCGCCCCCCCGTCCACCTTAATTCCCCCCCCTTGCAGGGTTCCGTCGCAACCAGAACCAAAGGGGCTGGAAATGATCACTTTTGGTGCATGGAGCAGGAGGAAGGCGGCGGGAGAGGAGGTAGAGTTGTGCTTACTCTTGCGGGCGCCCACCTGGGAGGGAATGTTGGCCTGGGGCCGCTTTATTCAGCTACCAGCCCCACAAGACAAGAGCTGTTGCCATGTCCTAGCTGTCCGTTGGCACTTAACAAAAACCAGTAGACAGAGAAAGTGGTGAGTGGACAAGCGACGGGCATTGACCGTAACAGTGACAGCAGTGGTAGCAAACTGCCTGTTGTGATATCCAAGCCTTTGTGTGCGGGAGAAGGGGAGGGGAGGTATGTCTGGCAGAGACTTGCGTGCGGTGTGTCTCTAGATCCTTTCACAGGGATATATCGTGTATACCATCGCTTCCAAACCTTGGGCAACCCAGATGCTCTTGGACTGCAATTCCCAGAAGCCTTTACCACCAGCTGTGCTGGCCAGGGTTTCTGGGAGTTGCAGTCCAAGAACCCCTGGGTTACCCAAGGCTGGGAACCCCTGGTCTATACTCATTCTTGCAGTGTTCAGTGAGGGTGGTCACATCCACACGCTGTTGTCAAGGGTGGAGGCCATGCTTCTCTCAAGGGCAGTGAAGATGATGAGGCGCATCCAGGTCTACAATAGCAGAGGCATCTGTAATGGCACGAGTGGAGATCAAAGCGGCCCTCCGTATTTGGAGGGGGAAGCAGTTCTCAGCAGGCCTGAATCTGGGCTGCACTGGCTAGGGCTAACAGATGTTGCCCTCCAACATCTGGAAAGCCACACATTCACCAAACATAGGGTAAGGTCAGGCTGTATCTGCTACAGGCAGCCTCACCTTTGAAGAAGCAGACACGCTTCTCAATGGTTCCCTCTAAAGTGCACCCCTGTGCTTCCCACTGCACAGCCATCGTTTGCATCCCCTCTCGGGTGGAGTCGGGGGAGAAAGAGGTAGAATCCCACCCGGCAGGGCCGAAAATGGGAGGGTATGTTGCGCTTCTCTCTGTGCAGAACAGAGCAGAGGTTCTTATTTTTTTTTCTTCCCCTCTACATGAATTATTGGCCAGCTTCATATTGTGATTTTACTCTGGAGCAACTGAAAGTGCATGGTGGCAAATTGTAGCTAATCAACAAGATGCCTGGCCATACAAGCATATACATAACCTTGTTAATTAGCTGTCGTTTGCTGCTGAAATTTACATTGTTTGCATTTTTTCAAGTTAAGAACTCAATTATTTAGTTCCAGTGCAAAGGAACTGCGAGTCTGTTGCAGCAAAAGCGACAAAAAATTGCAGCTCAGTATTCAAATTGATCTGGGCTTAATCCTTCACACAGAGAGTCCACTTTATCAGATACTTAATCTGTGCATCCGTCTGCCAGGTGCCACAAGATACCCGAGTAATTTATTTTTCACATTGTTTTGTCTCTGAAGAGCTGAGGAGTGGCATAGATTTTTCTTTTCATCCGTAACGTTCTTCTGCACAACATCTCAGTGGGATGAGTTGGGGCGGGAGACGGTGACTGGCTTGGGGTCACCAACCCAGTAGTTTTTTTTTAACTGAGTTGGGATTTGAATGTTGCCATGTCTGTTCTCTGAGGATATTGAGAGCAGTCTGCCTGGTAAGATGGAATTCTTGTTGCTGCCTATATTACATGTTGGTGCAGGCTGGTAAAAAGAGCAATGATTCCTCCTGGCTGTGGCTCTGGAGACAGAAAAGGGAAAGGAGGACAAAGCACACGTGTCAGCAGAGGCAGTGTGATATACTTTTTTTTTCTTGTCGAAATGCAAGCAAAGAGCTTTTTAAAAGGACAAATTTTCCACTTTAAGACTTTCTTTGCCTCCTGCAGCCGTCTCCAACTTTGGTATCTTCTAGATGTGGTGGACTTCAACCCCCATCACCCCCCAAAGCCAGCAGGGCCACGCTAGTTGTCAACTTGGAAAATTTTATAAATATAGAGATTAATATAATTAGGCAGATTATGGGAGAAGCAGCCCTGGATGTGAAAGTACTTTTAAAACTGAAGCTTGAAAAATAGTTTACTATAGTCATTTCAAAACAAGTGACTAGTTCCAGCCTCACAAGGTCACTCTACCATAACAATCCTGGCAGTTGAACTTGTTTTGCAAATGCTGATCAGACACAGATAAGGGATACAAGTTTTATAATTTGCATTCTAGTGATGGTGCAGATTATAGTCAGAACTGACCTAGAGGGCAACAGATTAGAAAGGCCAGAAGTACTGCCTTTTTCCAGCTTTGATGAACATTAATGTTTTATGCCATCATCTTTTTCCAAAAACCCATTTGTAAGAAATATGAGTTGGGAGCGTTGCAGGCAGAGAACCTTGGTGTAAATGTGGAAATCTGGCCTGCACGAAAATGTGGCCCTGCGGTGTTCTGCAGCTGCTGCTCTTTTGGCTTGGTGCACCATTTGCACGTGGCAGCTTACCCCACCAATGTGGGAGGTGATTTTTGCAACACCACCAGGTAAAATTGCCAGAATCCTACTGCCATATGGAGATCTTATAAAACCCCCTTCTGCACAGCAGCCCTCTGTGAGTTTTGATGTTGTGGCTGTCAAAATCTAAAAGCTTGACTTCTGCTTCCTTCTGCAGACATACACTTGTTTGTGTTTCTGCTGGGCAGGAAAAATCTGTCCTAGGGAAGTCAACCACCTCCTTCTTTGAGTCGTTGAATATTTTAAGGACATGACTCTGCTCCTGCTCTCATTCCATGGGTCTGTTTGCAGCTGAATATAATTTGATCAGCTTAGCTTGTTTGCCAATGCTGTATAAGAGCCTTCACCCTTCCTTAGGCAAACAGAAACAGAAATACAAAAGAAAAGAAAAGCAGGTCCACATGCTGTTGTGTCATGTGACTGTGGAACTTGGCTTTGTTTTCACCTTCCTCAACCAGAGACTTTCTAGATGTGTTGTACCACGGCTCCCATCAGCCACAACCAGCAGTGGCAGCTGTATGTAGCTCAGCACACAGAGAGGACTCCAGGTTTGAAAGGACTGCTTTCCTTTGTGTAGGATTTGACGGTGGATCTGGACGTCTTAAAGTGACTTTGGCACAGCGTAGGCTAGGCTTAAGCAATACATGGACCCCGCTGGGATGTCTTTGCCGCTCACACTGAACCACAGCTACCTGTGCTGAAATCTCTTGTTGATCTCCTTGTATGTAGACTTCTAAAATGTGGTGCTCCTACAAAAACTCAATTTCTGCCTTCATTTCTGGAAGGAAAAGGTGTTATGTTCCCACTTACCTGCCTAAAGAGCTCTGTGGTGCATTATGGACGCTCTGGCACTCTTCTGTATCAAAGATGCAGAATGCCAACCCATTTGTCATTGGGCAGGGACTGCTGGACTTCAGCAGAGGTTGTGCTATGGCCAAGGAGCCCAGTGCAGCACCCCCATGCTGGGAACTCATTCAGCCCTTAGGAACACAACAGGTTTTTACGTACAGAAAGATCCAGGTTCATCCTTAACATCTTCAGTTTAAATGATCTTGAAGAACAGGCTAAGAAATTATTCCTACCTCAATTTTGTTTTTTGTTTCTAATCCCACTCTAAGGCCATGGCATTTAAGTAACAGCTCTTCTCCCTCTTTCTTTTAAACATTGGAAACAGTTGAGTTGAGTAAATCATTTCATTATTGGGATGGTCCTGTCACTCATGGAGAAAAGTGCCTTTTTAACTACGTCTTCTGTTAATTTTCCAACTTGCATTCCCAAATAACGTATGAAACTGTTGTGGAATTGGTGTGTGTCTCAGCTGCTAGTTGGTCTCAGTTTATAGTTGAGGGAACACTTTTCAATTGATGCTGCTTACCAGAATATGCATGCTACTGACATCTCTCTGGAGATTTTGAAGGAAATGCAGATCGTACCTTATTTTGCTAGACTTTTCTTCCATTGAGCTTGAAGGAACTTTTATGATTTTTCCCCTCTTCACCATATCCTCACAGACATTCACTGACCTCTGAACTGGGCAGCAATTTGAATTTGGGTTTTCCTAGTGTCAGTGAAATACATTAGAACCAGTGTAGTATAGTAGTGGAAAAGTGATAGTTTTCTGTTTCTAGTCCCGGTGCTCTATGAATATGTTAGGCTGGAGATGATGGGAATTCTAATCCAAAACACTTGGAAGCACCGGGTTGCAGGAGGCTGATACAGCTACTTATCACATAGCTAATGAGATATGTGATAAGTAGGGTATCATCTTAGGGTACTTAATAAAGCAGCAAATGGCAGGGCATAATCTTAGAAAAACCATTGGCTTTTCACAGTCACACACTGATGCATACACCATCTGAGACTTTAAAAAGTGGAATATCCCTCCCCTCCCCACAACAGTTTATCAGATCTGACATAAGGAGGTTTAATTGGCTTGATTAATAGGGGAGATGAGGATCCACTTGGCTCTCCAGCCTTTGGGTGTTAACGTCGCTAATATTCCTTCAATGAAGCGGACTCTGTGCTTCTGGGGAATCTCAGTCTTCCTCAGAACACAGTCTGAAAGGCTGCAAATGAAAGCTTTAGTGGACGGACCCTTCAATTATTATTTTTAACCTTTCCAGCAGTTTTGGTTAAAGGTTCTCTCGTTCATTTGTTCCCTTGATTACCAACTGAACCACACCCTGTTCCCCGGCCTCTGCCTTGACACACACACCCCTTTTTCCCAGGTGCTGTGACAAGCGGCTTTGGACGCACATTGACCTGAGCCGCCGGAAATCCATCACTCCCTCCATGCTGAGTGGCATCATCCGCCGGCAACCAGCCAGCCTTGATCTCAGCTGGACCAACATTTCTAAGAAGCAGCTCATGTGGCTTCTCAACAGGCTACAAGGTATTGTTTGGGGGGGGGGGCGCGGGGATAGTGGAAAGCAGGAGGCCTTCTCGGGGAGGGCACCCAAAGTGCCAAGTATTTATTTATAGGGAGTGTTTACACTTGGTGTACTGACCATGATTCCACAGGTCATGTCGAATGTGTTTGAAACAAGGCAAGAATCACCAGTAAAGGTCATGGAAGTCCATCTAAGCTTGCTCACTCTCCTTCCCCAAATGCTTAAAGTGCCATCGGGCAGTTGGATTTCTGAGCTGGGGCCAATCTTTGCAAAGACTGGAAACCGCTTCCTCTCGAGATGGAAAACACTGGTGGAGACTCTGGGGATTGTAGTCTCAACAGTCCGAATGTTTCCCATGTCTGCTGCTGCAGTCCACTAGCATTAATCTCTAATGTCGAAGCTGCTCCTTTTTCTCTCAGCTTCTGGCACAAAAGCAGGCCAGGAAGATATCAGAGGGGCTTGCATGCCTTCCCCCACTTCTCCGGTATTCAGATGCTCTGTCTGTCCCTTTTCTGCTAAATGATGGTGTTAAATCAGGTGTCTGATGGAAAGAGACAAATTACCACAGACCAATCTGTCCCATCTGTGAGTTCCACACATGTTCTTATATTTGCTCTATCCTGTTTTCACATCAGTCAGTAATTAGGTTTTGTTTTTAATGTGTGGACATCGCATGATTTTGGTTTGGGGCTTTGCTTTTTGTTTTGTTTTTTCATGAGGCATGGATTTTGTTCCAGGCAAGACTCTGATAGTTTGGAGTGACGTAGAAACAGCATCCATGGGAACTTAATTTGAAACAGTAGGGAGAGCTCAGATTTCTGGATTCTCTTAATGCCTGGTTTGCATTGCATTGCTAAACCATTGACTAGACTGCTATCCTTTCAGACTGGAGGGGGGGAGAGGAGGCTTGTATCCTTGAATTCTCCTCGCTGTAGAGAAAGGAAGTGCCTAGAGTGGTCACAATTGACTAGATAGGCGGGATATAAATGAAATAAATAAATAAATAAATAAAATAAAGTGGGGAGAACACTTTTACAGTAATCGAGGAAGAAGATGCAGTTAGCATGGTAGAGGAAGATGTCCTTGACACACCTCTCCTGACGTATTTTCTGGGAGGGGCTGATGAGCTTAGAGCTAACAGTCTGATGAGCTAACATCGCCTTGTCGTGGCGAAGGGGCTTGAGTAATTCAGAGAAGCTATGGGCTATGCCATGCAGGGACACCCAAGACGGACAGGTCATAGTGGAGAATTCTGACTAAATGCGATCCACCTGGAGCAGGAACTGGCAAGCCACTCCAGTATCTTTGCCAAGAAAACTGCATGGACAGAAACAAAAGGCTAAAAGATATGACGCTATAAGATATGACGCTCAGGTCGGAAGGCGTCCAACATACTACTGAGGAAGAGCGGAGGGCAAGTAGAATTAGCTCCAGAGTTAATGAAGTGGTTGGGCCAAAGGTGAAAGGACGCTCAGAAGTGCACATGCCTGGAAGTGAAAAGAAAGTCCGACGACGCTCAGGAGGCGTCCAACATGCTACTGAGGAAGAGTGGAGGGCAAGTAGAATTAGCTCCAGAGTTAATGAAGTAGTTGGGCCAAAGGTGAAAGGACGCTCAGAAGTGCACATGCCTGGCCTGGAAAGGAAAGGAACAATTACCATATCTATTATTGTGGGCAAGAACCCCGTAGAAGAAATGGAGTAGCCCTCATAGTCAACAAAAGAGTTGGAAAAGCTGTAATGGGATACAATCTCAAAAATGATAGAATGATTTCAATATGAATCCAAGGCAGACCTTTCAACATCACAGTAATCCAGGTTTATGCACCAACCACCGATGCTGAAGAGGCTGAAATTGACCAATTTTATGAAGACTTACAACACCTTCTAGAACTGACACCAAAGAAAGATGTTCTTCTCATTATAGGGGACTGGAATGCCAAAGTAGGGAGTCAAGAGAAAAAAGGAACAACAGGAAAGTTTTGCTTTGGATTTCAAAACGAAGCAGGGCAAAGGCTAATAGAGTTTTGTCGAGAGAACAAGCTGGTCATCACAAACGCTCTTTTCCAACAACACAAGAGGCGACTCTACACATGGACATCACCAGATGGGCAATATCAAAATCAAATTGATTATATTCTCTGCAGCTAAAGATGGAGAAGCTGTATACAGTCAGCAAAAACAAGACCTGGAGCTGATTGTAGCTCTGATCATCAGTTTCTCATAGCAAAACTCAAGCTTAAACTGAAGAAAGTAGGAAAAACCACTGGGCTAGTCAGGTATAATCTAAACCAAATCCCTTATGAATACACAGTGGAAGTGAAGAACAGATTTAAGGAGCTAGATTTGGTGCACAGAGTACTTGAAAAACTGTGGATGGAGCCTCGTAACATTGTACAGGAGGCAGCAACAAAAAACCATCCCAAAGAAAAGGAAAGGCAAGAAAGCAAAGTGGTTGTCCAGTGAGGCCTTACAAATAGCAGAGATGATAAGGGAAACAAAATGCAAGGGAGATGGGAAAAGTTACAGAAAATTGCATTTTGACTTCCAAAGAATAGCAAGCAGAGACAAGAGGGCCTTCTTAAATGAACAATGCAAATAAATACAGTAGAGGAAAATAATAGACAGGGAAAAACTAGAGATCTATTCAAAAAATTGGAGAGATTAAAGGAACATTTTGTGCAAAGATGAACATGATAAAGGAAAAAAATGGGAGGTGGCAAGAATACACAGAGGAATTCTACCAGAAAGATCTTGATGTCCTGGACAACCCAGATAGTGTGGCTGCAGACCTTGAGCCAGACATCCTGGAGAGTGAAGTCAAGTGGGCCTTAGAAAGCTTGTCTAACAACAAGGCCAGTGGAGGTGATGGCATTCCAATTGAACTATTTAAAATCTTAAACGATAATGCTGTTAAGGTGCTACACTCCATATGTCAGCAAGTTTGGAAAACTCAGCAGTGGCCAGAGGATTGGAAAAGATCAGTCTACATCCCAGTCCCAAAGAAGGCCAGTGCCAAAGAATGCTCCAACTACCGTACAGTTGCACTCATTTCACACACTAGCAAGGTTATGCTCAAAATCCTCCAAGGCAGGTTTCAGCAGTATGTGGACCGAGAACTCCCAGAAGTACAAGTTGGATTTCGAAGGGGCAGAGGAACTCGAGACCAAATTGCTAACATGCGCTGGATTATAGAGAAAGCCAGAGAGTTCCAGAAAAACATCTACTTCTGCTTCATTGACTGTGCAAAAGCCTTTGACTGTGTGAACCACAGCAAACTATGGCAAGTTCTTAAAGAAGTGGAAGTGCCTGACCACCTTATCTATCTCCTGAGAAATCTATATGTGGGACAGGAAGCAACATTTAGAACTGGATATGGAACAACTGATTGGTTCAAAATTGTGAAAGGAGTATGACAAAGCTGTATATTGTCTCCCTGCTTATTTAACTTACATGCAGAATACATCATGCGAAAATCTGGACTGGATGAATCCCAAGCCAGAATTAAGATTGCTGGAAGAAATATCAACAACCTCAGATATGCAGATGATACCACTCTGGTGGCAGAAAGTGAGGAGGAATTAAAGAACCTCTTAATGAGGGTGAAAGAGGAGAGCGCCAGAAATGGTCTGAGCTCAACATTAAAAAAACTAAGATCACGGCCACTGACCCCGTCACCTCCTGGCAAATAGAAGGGGAACATATGGAGACAGTGACAGATTTTGCCTTCTTGGGCTCCGTGATTACTGCAGATAGTGACAGCAGCCACCAAATTAAAAGACGCCTGCTTCTTGGGAGGAAAGTGATGAGAAACCTTGACAGCATCTTAAGAACCAGAGACATCAGCTTGCCATAGTCAAGGCTATGGTTTATCCAGTAGCAATGTATGGGAGTTGAGAGTTGGACCATAAACAAGGCTGAACGCTGAAGAATTAATGCTTTTGAATTTTAGTGCTGGATGAGACTCTTGAGAGTCCCCTGGACTGCAAGGAGAACAAACCTATCCATTCTGAAGGAAATCAACCCTGAGCGCCCACTGGAAGGACAGATCCTGAAGCTGAGGCTCCAATCCTTTGGCCATCTCATGAGAAGACTCCCTGGAAAATACCCTGATGTTGGGAAAGTGTGAAGGCGAGAGGAAAAAGGGACGACAGAGGACGAGATGGTTGGACAGTGTCATCAAAGTGACCAACATGAATTTGACCCAACTCTGGGAGGCAGTGGAAGACAGGAGGGCCTGGCGTGCTCTGGTCCATGGGGTCACGAAGAGTCGATACGACTTAATGACTAAACAACAACAGTACCACACTCAGGAGAAACTAGGGGCTGGAATCACAGAAGTGTACAATTGTAGAGTTAGAATAAATCCCCAGGGCCATCTAGTCATTCTGCCATTTGGGAACAGAAGCAGGAGACAGTCCCGTTGGTTGGACAGCTGCCAAGGATTGGATGCCGCAGCCGACATCCCAAGAGCCCCATAGAAGCAAAGGAGAGACATGTACTCATTTCTTTTCCCACTCTCCAATGTTTGATCCACTTGATTTGAGAGAGAGAGAGAGAGAGAGAGTCACTGGTTCTATCGTTTGTCTAGAGCAGGGGGACGGGAGAGTCTATACCAGGCAGTGAACCAACCAAGCAAAACTTGACCATTGTCCTTTCCAGCATAGTTTGAGTTGGAGGGATTGTGCTGGGGACAGTATTCGCCCGGGACAGGGAGGGGGCAAACCTCCAGGAAGCTTTCCGTGGGTTAAAATGGGAAATTGAAACTTAAGAGAAGAATCACTGGGAGGGAGAATACGGATTGCAGATGGGTGGCCTCTCATGGGTGGGTGTCGTAATCTGTGAGGTTCTTTCCCAGGCCCTCCTAGTTTCATCTCTCTTCATTCTGTACAGGCCTTAAAGAGCTCATCCTGACAGGTTGCTCCTGGTGCTCTGTGTCGGCACTCAGCACAGCCAACTTCCCTTCCCTGCGGCTTCTGGATTTACGCTGGATTGAGGATGTCAAGGACTCCCACCTCCGTGAGCTGCTGTTGCCTGCCACAGATGCCAAGCCAGGTAAAAAATGAATTGAAGAAGAGTTTGTGGTGGATTCTTTTTGCTCTTCGGTCTAAAAGGAAGGAGTTCTTTGCCATCTTCTCCCCACCCCTCGGAATCCTCTAGGATGTCAGACATAGATGCATGCCGCTTCTTTGCCTTGAAGTAATTTCTTAACGTTTTCCCCTCTGTTGCCCAGAGGAAGGCTGGGTTGCGTTTGCTCAAAGCTTGCATATTTTATTTTCTAGACTACAGCGCCCAGAATCCTCAGCCAGTTCCCACTATCCCTGGCCAGTTCTTAATGTTTCTGCTCCTGAAGCCAAAAAGAACATTAGGTTTGGTTGGAAGGATTTGGATGTCCATAGTCTCAATAAACAATTTCTCCAAGCTCTGTGTGGCAGTAGCCACTTTTGTTAGACTTGGCCTGCTTAATTAGTTAGGCTGAAGAGTACAGTGGTCTGCTAAGAAGCCTCATCACCTATCCTAGTTTTTTTCCACTTTCCTGGGATTGTAAAAAAATAAACTGGTTGAGAATTGCAACCAGTCTGTCACATCATTAGCTTGTTGGGACATTTCCTCCCACGAAGCAGGTGATGGTTGGGTCTCCGTCTTTTGTTTGGGGCAGGGAACCTGGCAGTTTCAAGATGTTCCTGGATTGTAAGCCTCGTCAGCCCTAGGCAACATAGCCAACGACTTGGGGTTAGTGCTTGTATTCAAAATATTTAAAGTACAAGTGCAAGGCATGCTTGGGTTGTACCTTTGTTAAAGATTTACCTGTATTATGATGGATTAATGTTTGTAAAATGAATAGCATAACAGATTTTTTTAAAGGAGTTTCGCCATAGCGCTATGCAGATTTGTGGGTTTTCTTAACTTCTTGGGGAATTCTGGGAGTTGTAGTCTCAAAGCCCAAATCTGCACAGCTCTATTTGGAATTATGGGAACTGTGGTCCAACAGTAGGGAAGCAGCCACAAGTTGCCTGTTCCTGACCTGCACGATGGTGTTGTCATCGATGCAACGGCGTGCTTGGTCTTCCCCCCTGGGATCACTTCCACTTGGGTCCCCTGCTGCAGGACACCCTCTTTAATTTTTTGAACATGACATTTCGCCGTTGAAGCTGTTTTCTTGCTGTGAAGTAGGCTGAATCCAGTAAAAGCTGGTACCACCCGTACGGATGTATTCTTAATTTGACAAACGTGAAAAGTTTTTCTTAATTCATTTTTAATTTTATGTACAGCTGCCAGCAGGAGTTTTGAGAGCTGGCATACAGTAACTTTACCAAGCTCAGATTTTAATCATGAATTTATCATAGTACTTGTATTTCAGTATTAGATACCCAGTATAGGGGATAGAGTGATGGAGGCCTGGGTTCAAATCCCCACTCAACTATGGAAGCGCACAGGGGATATGGAACTGGCAAAATCACTCCGTGAATATCTCATTTACTTTGAAAGTCCTATTAGAGTCACTATAAATTGGTTCTGGCTTGATGGCATGTAACTACAACAATTTCAGTATTACCTGCCTTGAACTCTATTTTCAGTCTGAATATTGGGCTGAATCAGCATATATATTAAAAGCCAGCACGGCTACTACTCGGGTACCTTTTAATGGCAGTTGCCAGATTCATTCTGCTTCCCAAAGCAGGGCTAGAGGCCAACGTCTTGCTGATGGGTGGCCTTGCCTCATTTGCGCGTCGACCTTTCTTCCCAACCCTCCAGGTCAGACTGACAGCCGGGGCCGGCTCCAGAATGTTTCTGAGCTGCGGCTCTCTGGGCTCGACATCACAGACTCGTCACTGCGCTTGGTGATCCGGCACACCCCTCAGCTTGCCAAACTGGATCTGAGCCACTGCAACCACGTAGGCGACCAGTCTGTTAACCTGCTGACCGCTGCTAACTCCCCGCTCCGAGAGACCCTCGCTGAGCTCAACCTTGCTGGTGAGTAACGGAGGGGAACCTTCTCCCAGAAAGCCATTTTTAGTCCCATCTCTAGGTAGGCTTATTTATGTAATGTATAGATTGCATTTCTGTACTGCTTTTCTCCCAGTTATGGGAGGCGAGTCTCCATCCTGGCCTGATCTACAGTGAATCAGGATTCCTAAATTTATATCAGTCATGTTGTTTATAATCTCCCCTGAGCTCTACCTCCAGTTGTTGCTCTCAAAGAGGAAAGGATGACTTCTCATAATTGGGCTAGAGTATAAACGCAGCTAGAAAAGGACCTGGTGTTTTAGCTCTACAAGTCTATATTGGTTTTATAAAGGTTTAACTGTTAATGACTTCCCTCTCCCACCCCACCCCCAAAAACGTGGGAATCATAGCTTTGTGAGGATGCAGTGAATTTACTTTCACTCTGCCATGACGATTACCATTACCATGGTTTTCTAGATCAATGATGTGAGCTTGGTGACACAGTGGATAAACTGCAGTTCTGCAGCAAGACTCTGCTCAGGAGGACCCAATTTCAGTTCCCATGGGCTGAGGCAGCTGGCTTGAGACAGACTCTGTCTTCCATCCTTCAGAAGTCAGTAAATGGAGTACCCAGTTCGCCAGTGGAGAGCAACGTGTAGCCTGCATAATTACATATTTTTCAGTGTATAAGACGCCCCCCACTTTTCTAATCCAGAATTAAGAAATCTAAGTGGGGTTTAGCAAGGGTGGGGGGGGAAAGGGATCAAAGCGCTGCAGGATAGCTTTGATCCCTGCTTTCCCCTCCACTTGTTTTTGTTCTCTCCTCAGCTTACTTCCATGTATAAGATGACCCTCGATTTTTAGTCTAAAGATTTTAGACAAAAGTGTAGTCTTATACATGGAAAAATGCAGTAAGTAACACTTTGCTTTTTTGCTTTCTTTAGAGTTTGAGGCACCCATCCTCAAATGAAAGTTGTGTGCTGTAAAACTAATGGGATGATAAATCAATCAGTTAATCAATACATTTGTTGCTGTCTACAGTGGGGAAAACTTTGGCCAACTTTGTGCTCTCCTCCACCACTTACAGGATGTAACCGGCTGACGGATCAGTGTCTGCCCCTTTTCCGCCGCTGCCCACGCCTTTCCCGAATCGACCTCCGCTCTTGCCACCACGTCACCCCGGAGGCCTGCGCCCGCTTTGCCGAGGACTCGGTTTCCAACAGGGCCTCGGCGCCTCCCGCTCCTGGCTCCGTGCCTCTTTTCCGTTGCCCCGAGGAGAAATTGTTGCTGAAGGACAGCTAATACCCGCTCTGGGGTGGAGGCGCAGGAAGACTTTTGCCTCACCGATCCGACAGCTGGACACACGGACTCTGAGAGAACCTTTTTACTTAAAGCCATGCACTGAACCGGAATATGGCGTCTCCACCCTCCCCCCGATGTGTGCGCAGCAAAAGAGGGTGAGGGGGGTTGTGCCCTCCCTCCCCTTCGCCTGGCCTGCCACAGGGGGCAGGTTGCCTTTCACTCCAACCCCCCCCCTTGTTCCAGGACCGAGCCATGGAGTAAGTGGGGCCTGAGGTAGCCTGGTCGCTTTACAATGTTGGGGGAAGGCGTATTCCGCTCACCATGCACTGCGTCATCCCATTCCCTCCTCCCCCCCCTCTAGAAAAAGAAAATCGGCCTGTGCCGCAGTTGGTACCACGCTCTCTCTTGGGGTGGGGGTGGGAAGCTGGCACTCCGCCTTGAAACGCTGGCTCAGGAGGAAGGCAGCTTATTTGTATGGTATCAGATTATTATTTTTCTCATCCCGTTTCCTCCCCCCCATCGCCAACACCCCCCCAATGCCAATGTGCACTCCTAAACACTCTCCCTCCCCCCTCACACACATGCTGCCTTTATGATTTTTAAAATGTGTGCGTGTCTGCCTGTCTGTATGACTGTCTGCCCTTCCCTCCCCCACCCTCCACAAATGTTCATTTTTGGTGCATTTTTTAAAAAGGGGTGGGGATGGGGGCCTCGGCAGCTGATACAAACGGTGACCTGCCCTACCTCGCTTAAACACACCCACTGAGATTCCACCCATCCACCCATGCCCACACCTCTTTTCCTGTTTCAGACTTTTGAGTTGCCACCTATGCATGGGGTTCAGCTCCCCAGGTGCTCCTAAAAGGTGGGCTCGCTGCGTCGTACACAATCCTCCTCCATCTCCCACCTTTCGACCCTCCACCCCAGCTGATCTGAATGTGCAGGTGGGCTTGGGCCCACCTGTGAATCTCGACCCGTGTGCCTCACATGCGCACAAATTAATCTCAGACACCAAAAGGAGTAACGTACACGCTCTACGGTTTGTATGTACGCTGCGACCGCTGCTATATTGTTTACGTACAAAACCTTCATCCATGCGCACATGCAAGCCACATGCATGACTGGGCTCTCTGATGAATGTTCAGCCCCACCCTTCACTTGACCTCCCGTCTGTCGTTCCTGTCCCGTTCGTACCTCTTCATTCCATTCACGTCCATTTGTGGGGTGCACATCCAGAAGCCTCCGCTGCAGATGTAGCATGGCGCATGGAGGGGGGTGTAGCTCAGAAACACCTCTGACTGTCCATGTTCCTCTTTTATCCCTCTGGGGTTGCTTATGTCAGGCGTGTGTGTAGACAGGCATAAGGCAGGTGTTCAGTCCCTTCTGTTCTGCCTGTGGTGGCCCTTGCATCTCTGTGGGACAGCTGCTTAACTTGGCGACTGTGAGCAGAACAGTCTTTTTTGCCACCCTGAACATTGCCTCGCTCCAAGTACCACTTCAGACTGCAGGGGCATATGTGGGTATACACACCCCATTGCCTGTTTACATGCACACATTTTTGTAAGCCTTCCTGACTGAGTGAATTAGCCCATGAGGAAGATTGTCACACTCAAACTCTCCGTATTTATTGAGAACGAGCAGGGAACCTCTTCTGAGGAAAGATGTGGAGAAGAAAATGAAGTCACATATGTGTGAGAAAGAACGGGGGGGGAACAACCACCACATGCACTTTCTCTTTCTGTGGTATGAAGTGGTATGGTCTATCCTACCACCTCCTCCTCCTGCATGTGTAAGAGTCCTCCAACGGCCTGTTTTCACAGGTTCTTGAGCTGCACAAAATAAACTGCAGCCCGACCCATATTTACCCTGCAAAAAAGTTATGAGGCAAAACTCCTCAACCCTATGAAAAGGAGTCATGCTGTAAAAGGAATGTGAGGGACCCCTTCCCTCAGACTCGAAGAGGTGGGAAAAGCAGGTCAGAGGAGAAAAGAAATGGCAGCTACTGTGAATTCTAGCACATGCATCTGAACATGCGTGCCACAGATATTACCTTCTCTTCCTGCCCCTCCACATGTGTGCACACCTTGTCATCCCTGTCTACACCTGCACACTCTCTCTTCTGCACTTTTCCTTCCATTTTCTGTGGGAACCTGTACTGATAATTTCGCTCCAGCAGCATTCCTAGCCCCATCTTCTAAGACTTCTCTTTAATTTTCTCCCTTACACCCCTCTTTCAAGCCTCTCTCTCAGGGGTGGTATGTATGGGTAAAGACTCTGTATCAAACTCTCCTTTGACTAGAAGCAAACAGGGTGGGAGCTGTCGTCAGGTTCCGCATATCGTACTTTTTCTTTGTTTCCTCCACCCCCTCGCTCCCGTCTTCAGAGAACTGATGTGGCTCATTCTCTACCCTCTTCCTCATCACCTTCTCTCTCTCCCTTTGATCCATAAGCTTTAATGACCACTTTTTTGGAAATGGTGGGAAGGGACCATAGAGTTGTGTTTTCCCCGGCACGAACCTGCACATGTTGGGTTGGGGATGAGCCAGCCTCGTCTTAATTCTGATTGCCCTTCTTCCCCTGGTTTCAAACTTGAACCTTTCTTCCTTTTTAGAAGCATGTATGTCTGCTTCTCTCTCTCTCTCTCTCTCTCTTTTTTTTTAAAGGCTTGGGAAGAAAAACACTATAGAAAAAAAGGCACAAGAAGAATGTTCCGAACTGAACTTGTGCCCATTATTGGCTTCTTGCCGATGGAGGTGGGATGATGACATGGATGCTACAGCTCTTCTTCTCATCCTTCATATATGCCATTTTAGGGACCGGGGAGAGGCAATCTAATACCTTCTTAAAGGTGCCCAGTGAGCCTAGTTCACTCCCACCTTCTTCTGTTTATCGTCCTCACCTCCCTCCGTACTTGGGTTTCTTACTATCTTACTAGAAACAATGAGGGTTAGGTTTAGTGGGGTGAATGCATCCTTGAGCTGGAGGAGATTCTCTGGATTCCTTACAGCCTAGAGTTCTCCACCTGTCTTACTACAAAGATTTCCTATATCTTGTCCCCTCCACCCATCCGCCAAAGGCCTCCCCCCCCCTTTCCACTTCTCTGTCTTGTCTCCCCTCCGGTGTCTCTCTTTGGGACGATCAGAGAGTACTTGGCACATCAAACCTGCGTCTGTATTGGGAGGGAGGGGGCATGGTATGAGGCTGGCTTTCAAACTGGTAACCATAACTTTTTCTTTTAATATATACTTGAACGTTCATTTATTACTAAAGCATTACTTGAAGAAGAAGAAGAAACCGCAGCGATAGGTCATGGAATTGGAGGCGAGTTTTTCAGTGTGTGTTTGTTTGTTTTTTTAAACACGTTCTGTTGGGTGCTCTTTTTTTAATCTTTTTTTTTTTTAAGAAAATGGGTTCTGTTTACTTGTTTGTCTTTTTTATTTTGTTTTTCACTTTTCTTATTAAAGGAAAATCCTTCCCTCTCACGCCATTAGCCAAAGAGGGCCAAGGTATCTTAACTTTCCACCACCCCACCCCACCACTTAACACCCTGTCTGGAGTTTATTTCCATATAGGACTTGCCTCTGCCCTCTGTCACTCCTTAGAAAGCCCTATTAAGAAAGTATTACAAATTTGAGGAGTCGAAGGGGAGACTTTGGGGTGAAGTGATGATGGAGGTGGGGGAGTCTGTATTCTGTATTTCTATGGGGAGGGTGGGGAGAACATAAGCAGGCCTGTTTCCTTGAAATGTTAATTTCCCTTTTAGCACAGCATCAATATGTACTGTATTACCATTCCGTAATGTTGTATCCTGTTCACTCCCCCCCACACGCACACACAAAAACTTCAAATCTACAAACACTGTGGTGCAAGTTAGGAAGGTGGGTTGGATCCCAGCATAGAAATTTGTTCTTTGCATCCTACCCACCTGCCCTTCTCCAGGCTTTGACCCTCTGCTTTCAGTTTCTCCTCTTGAACACTACAAAAAGGCCCTCAAAGGCTCTGGGTTTCACCGTCACTGCTTGATGGCGGGGGTAGGAATCCAGGAGAACGAAAAGGGTAGCATCAAAATGGCAGAAGGGGCCGTTGCTGTCTTTGTCATGGCGGCCCAGCCTCTCCTTTCTTTCTCTGACCACAGGCGACGAGGTGCTCTTTCAGACATATCATTTTAGGGTTGGTGTGGGTGTTGGTGGTGTTTTAAAGGAACTCTTTTTGTGCTCGGTGGATGAGAGAGAGAAAGAATGAGAGAGAGAGAGAGAGGAAAGAAAAATACCTCAGGTTTAAAAAGAAACAGTGAAGAAGAAGAAAAAAAGTCAATATCATCCCAGGGTGGGTTACTGTATAGATTGCTGCTTTGTGGGGAGGTCAGTATGGTGAACTGGGGAGTATGGACCAAGTTGAGGAGGTGTCCATAGCCAGGCACTTGCTTTTGAGTAGAAGTGGGAGCCCCCATTCCTGCTCTGCTTCCCTCCCTGTACATAATATGTGTTTCCCACGGCCACTCAGAAGATCTAAGTTCACATTAATACCCAGGCGGTGGCCTCTGAAATCCAAACAGATCGCTCCTGGAAGGTTCAAAGAACTCAACAAATACATATTTTCCACTGCCCCTCCAAAAGAAATCTTCCATCCCATCCACTCTCTGGATGTAGCCCCCCAAAATTTCTCTTCCTCCTCCCCCAAGACCCCGAACAATAGAGCTCCTAGAGGCTCACACAGAACTTTTCCCCATTTTAGTGGACCAAAGCTGTATTACCTTTCCTTTCTGCCCCAACACATACACGCACCCCTCCACCACCACTTCTTTGTCCATCATGCCCATGCCTGCTTTTCTCCTCTCCCCCCACCCCCTTTGCCTATCCATTCAGACCTTTGGAAAGTGGGAAAGCAAAGACAAAAAAATTGGGGAGCAAAATCCAGTGTGGATCAATGTGTCTTTCACAGTATTCAATCTGCACCCCTCCATCCCAGCCCCTCGGGACTGTTCAGATGGGGGCTGGGGGGAGGGAGGGCTGTGAGGCCAAGTTCCGATCTGAATTTCAGGGGTTCTGTTATTGTACAATAACTGTTTGCTATTATAAACAAAAGAAAATCCCAAAAAAATGAAGAAAAGAGAGAGACACAGAGAGAGAGAGAGAAAATGAAATAAGTGTTTGGTCTGAAGAGCCTGTTTTTTTTTTAAATTGTGATTCCCATCCACCCACCCACCTTTTGGTTTTATTTTCTTTAAAGCAAATGTTTGGAATAAAAATGTTGGCTTTTGTTAATTTTTATTATTTTTAAATTTTTATGGGTTCTGTTTCATGGTTTCTGGAAAATTTTTTTATAAACTCTCCTTTTGGTTTTTCCGATGGTTTTATTTTGCTTTTGCTTTTACGTTTGTGTGTTCCCACCCCTCCACCCCACGCCAGGTGTGTTCTCGTGTGGAGATATTTCGGGGAGGGGGAATTAGGTGTCATCGGCTGACTGTTTCCCAAATTTACAGACAACTGGAAGCGCCCTGTCTCCGAGCCAGAATTCAAGACATTTGTTGACAAAATGGGATGATAAATTGAATTAGGTTGTAACCATTCGCACTGCTGTCCCAGGCTGGCTGTTTTAAAGAAAAAAACAGACATGGAACCATTGCAGCTAGAAAATTTAGACGTTTCTTTGCTGAGATGCTTCACTTGCTTAGATTTCTTTTTTCCTTGGGGGGAGGTATTAAAAAATGAGATTTCTTGCCAGGTGCCGTCTGGAGGGGTTCAATCAATTCTGCAAAGCTCCATGTTGCTGGATATGAATACTGGCCCAACTTGTTCATTGTTCTCTGCACTGCAAGTGATGATTAAATCATCGTCATCAACCTAGAACTGCAGAGCCAGAAGGGTCAATGAGTCCAGCCCCTGTTGAGGAGACACAGTGGAGAATCAAACTCCCAACCTCTGGCTCCGCAACTAGAGACCTAAACCACTGAGCTATCCAGCAGTACTCCAGGGATGCTAATGTTTTGCTAGGCTGGACATTGGCTCATTCTTTAACTGAGGTTCAATGAAGGAGACAAAGTGCAGGCTGTGAATCGTTTGGAAGTGCTTGTGGGCAATCTCGCAAGGCTGAGGCATTCATTTATATCCCATAAGAAGCTCCAGAAGGTGTTTTGATCTCGTAAGAATCTATGAGGTAAGGCAAGGTAAGAATGATTGGTGCTGGAGGAGGCTCTTGAGAGTCCCCTGGACTGCAAGGAGAACAAACCTATCCATTCTGAAGGAAATCAACCCTGAGTGCTCACTGGAAGGACAGATCCTGAAGCTGAGGCTCCAATATTTTGGCCATCTCATGAGAAGACAAGACTGCCTGGAAAAGACCCTGATGTTGGGAAAGTGCAAAGACAAGAGGAGAAGGGGACGACAGAGCATGAGACGGTTGGACAGGGTCACTGAAGTTACCAACATGAATTTGACCCAACTCCGGGAGGCAGTGGAAGACAGGAGGGCCTGACGTGCTCTGGTCCTTGGGGTCACGAAGAGTCGGACAGGACTTAACGAGTAAACAACAACAAGAATGAGTGGCTTCAAGAACTTCACAGGCAAGTTTGAGGTTGTTACCCGTTTCCTCATACTTAGTCCACCTACACCACATTGGTTCCCTCTATGGTGATCTAAGCAGTGTTTGTAAAGTTGGGTTACTTATATGCAGGTTGCACCAAAACTTTATTTTCTAGTTAGGTGATGCAAGGTATGGGAGCTAAAGAGGTAATTTAGACATTCACAGGGAGAGAGTCCCTTACTAATGCAGTCTCGGCTCCCCTGCCACTTGTTTGAACCGCCTCACCTTCTCTGCCTATCTGATGAAATGTTTCTGAAACTCCTTTCACTTTTAAATGCAGTTTGTGGTGCAGCAATAGGGGAAAAAAACTGCTGGAGAAAGATGTAGACCAAACCTGGGCCATAGCTTATGTCACAGTGCTGAATTTGTTTCTGTGCCAGTTCATTGCAACCAACCCTTGCATTTTCACACACTGCACTTTCTGATCATTCGTACCAGCAACGAAGGATGTTCCCAACTTGACAAATGGGATCGGCTGCCTTTAGCGGATAGTCACCCAGGAAGTTCAGGGGTCTATTGAGATTTGGCATGACTTCCCTCAAGGCCAGTTGTGTTAACTCCCAGTAATGTCATTTGAAGCCTTCAATGAAAACATTGCCTTTCGACCCCGGAGGGGGGATGGAGGTTTCCACATTGTGATGGCGCAAAATGGGGATCATCTCTAAGCAGTGAAGAAGACAAATTCCAGTTCACAATTGCAATGATGAAATAGAAAGAACATTCAGTTGCATGGCCTTTAGTTTCCATTTATGTTTGTTCTTAAATTCTGGCTGGACTGGGTGATTTATGGGATTTACTGTAGTTGACTACTGTCAGCCCTCCTCTGTGGTGTGGTGCTAATATTCTGTAGAGTTAGCACGGTGGCCTCTAGAATTTTATTTAAAACCTTTCAGAGGTGTTCGTGGCAGAGGAATCTATATCTAATTTATTCCTGGGAGATTAAGAGATTGCTACTCAGAACCAGAATCTGCCCCTTTCTTATTTATAATAACAAATAGTTTTAATAAATTACATTAGTAATACAATAATAGTTATGTCACGTGCCACTACATAAATTCAGATTTATGACAACCCTTTCCAGACTTTCCTAGATAGAGTACTCAGAAGTGGTTTATTTTTTTACCCTTCTTCTGGGGGTGCTCTGGGACTTCTACAAGACACCCTGGAAAATTAAACTCCTTATCTCTGATTTCATAGCCAACTGCTCCAGCTTATTGAACTATCCAAGTCAGGTACTTTATGATGATGATGATGATGATGATGATGAATTAATTTTTAAAGGCTACTATGATCTTATTTATTTCCTATAGTATAAGAGGACCCCCTCCACTGCCGCCACCCACCTTGAAGTGGCCTTGACACTCACCAAAGAATGTGAGCCATAGCACAAGTCACATTGAACCAATGTGATCTTCCTCCTCCTGTTTAGTGTGTTCACGCTGAGAACCATCTAAAAGTGAGCAAAAGAAGAAACTAATAACAAATAACTAGTTGTTAGTAACAAGTTGTTTCCAAGTTAGTCAGACTGTATCATCCCAACCTGTTCTAGCCTATCATCATCACCAGCGGGTGTGACCAATCCCCTTTTTGTCGTTTTCGTCACAGTTGGGCAGTGATGTGCAGACTAAATTCTCCATTTTTAGAAGTTTAAACTTATCTCTTATCGATTCAAATCCTAATACCATGTTTCAGGTTTCTTCATTTAGGCCTGAGACATTTGAGTGTTCTGCCCTTGGTTTATATTATTTCACTCCCCCCATAAGGATTTCTGTTTTCCTTCCTTTTGTTTTTCTTGCTTTTCTCTGGCTATGCTGGCTGAGAAATTCTGGGAGTGCAAAAAAGGAGCTTTTATCAGCTTCTGGTCTGTGTCCCTGTTGCAGTTTGCTGTGTTCAAGAGCAAACCTTGCACACAGATAGTTCCGATTATGTCACTTGGTGCTACAACGGGTCTGAGGCGGGAGATCTCTGATCAGATCGGCAGATTGTGTTGTTGTTTTTAAAACTTTTAAAGCATTGGAAGCTTCTGATTTTGATTGGAACAGCAACAGCGTGGGCAGAAAGGGGGAGGTTTTAATGCACACGCTATTACTTTTTTGAAAAAAAATTTAATCAGCATTCAGTGAATGATTAAGAAAACCGAAGTAGGAATGTTGTTTTAGTTGTACTAAGTCATACAAACATTTATGCAAATAATAATTGCAGATAGTTTTCAGAAATAATCTGCAGTTTATAAATATATTCCTAGAGGTTTGACCAATTGCATGCAGCATTCCTAAGAAGGATCCACGGTGCTCCTGTAACTTTCTCAAGCTCAACAAGATTTACATATACCAATTCTAAAGATTATATTTTACTGAACAGTTGTCTCACAAATAATTGTGTAGCTTATGGAAGAGCCAACATAGTCCTCTGTGATGAACAAAAATTGGAAACTATAATAGCAGTCCTACATGCAGTTATTTGGGGTTAAGTTCCATTAAGGCCAATGAACTTTCTGATTTTATAGTACAGTATAGGATTGATATTCCTTCTCTAGAGCTGGTACAGCTTGGTGCCTAGGAGTGCCTGGGGTTGTGGGTTCAAGTCCCAATGTGCCTTCCAAGAAAGGGGCCAGCCAAGATCACCAGGGCAGAGTGTGGCTGACAAGATTACATGCCCTGAAACCTGTGTGCCACTTTGAACAAGCTGCACAGTCCCACAATGTTGCCAAAACAAGGGAATGGAAAACCACTTCTAAGTATTTTATACCTAGAAAATACTGGGAGCATTGCTGTAAGTCAGAAACTGATGTGACAATACATAATTATTATTTATATCCCCCCCCCCTTTGCATGAAGAAAGGCTCTCGCACCAACTTTTTAAAATGGTGACTGGGGTGGGTGGAACCATGACACCAAAGGAAAAGGATCAGGGAGGGAAGAGGAAAAACAAAGGCATACTTTCTTAAGGTTACAGCACTCTTCAGCTAGGAGGAAAGAATGATGGATGGCAACCAGAGAGGGCGAAACCTGATGGAAGAGGGTTCTAAGGAGCACTGTGGAAGTTTACGCTGAGTGAGGATATTGTCGATGGTGCCTAATGCTGCTTGCTCTGACGTAAATCCTCAATTAATTCCCTTGTATGTCAGTTTAGGATTGCAGCCCAATTTACCTTCTTGCTTGCCTTCGAAGAAAGAGAGAACTCGGTAGCCCTCAGAAGTCCTTCCTTCCAGGGATGTATCCATTCCTCTTTGAAAGTAATTCAGCCGGACCCTGAATAGCACAGTTTAACTATGTGCTGCATAAAGAGACATTTTCTTTTTACTTGCCCTGAAACTCTCGCCGTACAACTTGGTGGATGAGCCCACTGGCTAAAAGATGTGTGGGTTTGTGTTTCTGGACTACAACTCCCAGAATTCCTCACACATCAAATTCTGAGAGCTGGAGTCAAAAAACACACATCTGCCTCTAGTATTATTTTAGAACTGCAGAGCTAGACTGCTGGACAAAAACTGCTCTCTCCACACCTTATATAGCATTGATTCCCAGCCTTGGGTCCCCGGAGGTTCTTGAACTACAGC